GTATACATTGTAAAACAAAGACAAACAAAAATTTCGCGGATTTGATAAAAATTTGTTGTACGTGGATTTTCAAATTTTCAAAAATTGAATTTTGTTAGAAGCAAATTTTTGAAAATTCGATCATCCATAAACCTTCACTTGGGTCACGCAAGGTCCCATGACAAATTTAAGTTAAATTATTTTCTATTACCTTAATCGCCGAAAATCTGAAATTCATCTTGCCACGTCTAATTTGTTATTAATTTCCTCTGAATTCATCGTAGTCTGCAATAAAGCCTGATAATCTACAAATATAATCTAATAATTATTAATTATATTTACAACGAATTGATTAGTATAATCCAGAGCCCAAAACTTAAGACAGGGTATCATTATGAAAACCAGTATTAAAACCCGGGTTTCACGAATGTGATTAGGCAGTTTTGTGGATATCAATATTTTTGTTATGAAATATTATTTCTTTTCAGTTTGTTTATATTCTCCATTTTTTTCGAATCTCTTAAATCAAAATCTGCAACAAATGTTAAGACCCCAAAAAGAAACTCGGGATTTTCGTTCAACGATACTCTTTTAAATTTTGGGCTCTGGTATAATCACTGTACAGTGTACACGTTTCAGAATTAAAGAAAAATCATAGAATGTCGTACCAAAATCGCTATCTATAAACAGGGTTTCCTACGAAACATGACAATTGGTGAATAGTTTTGAATGTCTTCGTCCATATACTGTTTTGAATATTAAACACTTCTTTCAGCTTATTTCGTTGATAAAATCTTTTACTCAAAATATTTTTAATTTTTAAATCAATTTTACTATAATATGACTGCCGTGTACTATTTTTTCTCTTTGGTATCAAATAACTTATTATGGAAATTATGGAAAAAGACATTCAAAACTATTCACCAACTGTCGATCCATGTTTCGCGGACACCCTTATCCAATATCTATATATTATATATCCTTTGCTTGTCTGTTTGGGTGCCTGTCTGTCCTTTTGTATCCAATAAACCTCAGAACGGCTGAACTGATTGGGCCCAAATTTTGTGTTGACCCTCACATGGCCCCAGGGAAGATTTATGAATAATCAAAATCTAAAAAGTTTGCCTCCAACAAAATTTGATTTTCATTAAATTTGAAAATCCACGAAATTTATTTTATGAAATCCGTGAACTATTTTTTGGTTAATGTACACAAAGAGGACATGTTCAGAATTGAAAAAGAAGATGGTCGCGAAGCGCCCTAACAGCCTAGCCTATTTACACTTTGCTTGTCTAGCTGGGTGTTTGTCTGTTTGTTAGGATCAAATAAACGTAAAAACGGCTGAACCGATCGGGTCCAAATTTTATGTGGCACCACGCGAGGTTTATGGACGCTCAGAATTTTAAAAAAATGTCTCAAAATTTTTTTTTATTTTGTAACATTTAAAAAAAACCACGAAAAAATATCATCAAATCTGCGAACTTTTTTCTGTTTTTGTTTTATATTGTAAAAAAAGAAGATGTTCACAGATGGAGCCACAATTAATAGTTCAAATAGAAGATGGGACCAAAAAGCCTGGTAATATATGAGACAATTTACAGCAGAACAAATTATTTTAGATTATTGAGGATGTTGGCTAAACTTTTTATAAAGATAGCCACACAGGGACTGCATGTAGCCGTAATATATATTGACTCTTTATTTAAAGTTTGGCATGCCTAGTCGCGTCTGTCTAGCAGAAATCCGGAAGTCTTCTTTGCAGAAAAACCGCTTAAAATGTTCAATTATCAGAGAAAATAACTAACATGTCTTCTACCATCCATCATAAAGTAAAGGTTTACAGGGTACCATTGTGATTCCTACATACTGCTTTGTAAATTCACTCTGCACTTACTTTAATATTGAAGCTGATCTAATGTTGGTGTACGTTGTTCAGGGGAAGCTAGGATGTTCAAAAATATTCGCTGAAAACACCTCACAACTTTTACAAGGTCAGTAAGTACCAACTACAACAAAAATTGGATAAATTATATTTATGATGCCGTTCTTCATCAATATATATAAAATAGTGATCTCTGTTTATATATTTGATAATAACTGATGAAACCCTTGACCGATTTGCCTCAAATTTTGATTGGGAGAACTCGGGAGAACCACGGAATTGTTCTGAGATTTTATGTCGAGTGGGTCTACTTTTATATGGGAAAATAGCTAAATCGTAATTTACGATCAAACCCTGGGCAACACTTGGTTCTAAGCTTGTATTTAATAAACACAGATTATCAAAATTTAATTAAAAAGATCTTTCTAAAATTATCAATAATATCTCATTTTTACAAGGATAAAAGATAACTTTAAATTACTGTTATTACAGTGAGAAGTTTAGAAGAGAAATACAAAAGAATACTTTTTATTAATTTCTTTTTATTTAGGATCAACATGTACATATAAAGCAAACACGTTGATTATAATCTTATCCGGCCAGTCCAACATCTCCTTCAATAACACGCTCACCTTCATCAAGGGGAACCAGATCAGGGAGTTCATGTCAGGTGTTGTTTTTTTTTTTAGTATCATTATTATTATTATTATTATTATTATCATTAATACTATTATTATTATTATTTTATTATTTTTATTATATTTATCATTATTATAATAATTATATTTAAAGATGCTGACTTTTCAATGGAAGTATCTGGATCAGTTTCTTTAAGTCTCCCTAGGGACATGAAAAAGGTAAAGCGTGAAAATATGTTTTTTTTTTTTTTTTGGATGAAATCTTACTCTTTTAAGTTTTTGTATCTTTGTGTGGTGGGGATGTTGTTAATCTTGAACAACAATCTTAAATTTACATAATTGTCTTTTCTACTTTTTTATTTAAAACGTGTAAAAATTATAAAAAAGGAAACAGCGAAGAATTGATGTTTAATTGGTCACATAAGGATCGAAACAAGGACCAAACAGTTGAATCAGTGTGTCTTAAATAGTATAGCACTCTAAAAATTCTTCACGACAATTGTAAATAATGCCTAATGCTATTCCCTGGCAGGTGGTTCCTGTATTTTCTCTGATTGGATCAAGAACAGTTTGTCCAGCCGGTCAGATAATAATCAAGGTAAACATATTTTAAGCATTGATACATACTTTGGACTCAACGTAGTTTCCAGAGTAAGAAACGCAACTTTTTTCTTTCATAATTAAAAAATGTTGAAACATCTAAAATCATATTTTGGAAAAATTAATTTAAAAAAAAACAATTTTTCTAAGCTCATTCTTAACTGTAAATAGTCAAAGCTATGTCTCAACCGCTCGTTCAAAAGATCGTGCAATATATCCCTGAATAATTTTTTCATTTTTAAGTCTGCAATTATGATGGTGTCATTGATAAAGTGATAATTATAAGTTAAACTATTCAAATAATTCTAATGTCTACTTTTTAAATTGGTATTATTGTTTTTATATTAATTTCAATTAAGCAAAATATAATAATGTAAAATTACATTTTTAATATTTCAGATTCCTTTCTCGACTTTTAGGACCAAACGCAGCTTGTACAAAATTATTGTGATCTAACAAATATTCTAATTGACAATAAATTTGATCTAGATTGAAAACGTGAAACGATTTCGCCCTGAAAACAGTACTATTGACTACACTTTATACAAAGCTGAGGTACATTTTTTATTCTAAATTTAAGGTGAGTTGATTTTAGGATGTTGGTCGTAGGTTGCAATTTCAGGCTTTAGGATGTAGGTTATCGGTTGAATGTTGTAGATGGTAGGTTCTAGGTTGTAGGGTGTATGGTGCAGGGTGTGTGGTGTATAGGGTGTATGTTGTAGGGTGTATGGTGTAGGATGTAGGTTGTAGGTTGTAGATTGTACGCTGTAAGTTGTAGGTTTTAGGTTGTTTGGTGTACTGTTTAGGATTTATGATGTAGGTTGCAGGTTGTAGAATGTAGATGATAGGTTCTAGGTTGTAGATGGTAGGTTGTAGGTCATATAAATTGCAGGTTGTAAGTAGCATACAGTCTATAGGTATAAAAGTTGTATGCCGTAAGATTTAGGGTTGTTTGAAGTATAGTGCATGTTGTTTGGAGTATAATGTAGGTTGTTTGGAGTATACTGTAGGTGGTTTGAAGTATACTGTAGGTATTTTGAAGTATACTGTAGGCTGTTTGGAGTATACTGTAGTTTGTTTTGAGTATACTGTAGGCTGTTTGGAGTATACTGTAGGCTGTTTGGAGTATTCAGTAGGCTGTTTGGAGTATACTGTAGGTGGTTTGAAGTATACTGTAGGTAGTTTGAAGTATACTGTAGGCTGTTTGGAGTATACTGTAGGCTGTTTGGAGTATACTATAGGTTCTATAGTAAACTGAAAGTACGTGTAATGTATTGGTTGTCTAGTTGCATCTCTCTCTTTAGATTAGATTTAGGTTGAGTTACTGATCTAATTTAACGTACCAATATCTTTACCACTCAAAGAGCTTTGTTAAGGTTAGGGAGGGGGGGGGGGCACTCTCCGCTAAACCTTACTATTTCTTCGGTCAGTGTACAGCACATCAATCAAGCTCAATCAATCTCAACCAGAAACTAAAAATAAACGTTGAATTCTTTTCTAGACTTTATCCAAACCAGATCAAAGTTAATAGATGTATAAATTTCGTTTCTTCCTATTCAAATTCATTTAATCTTAACTAGGGCTTCCGATCGAAACTGCGGAATTGTGCGCAACTGCTCTCGAATTTCGCGGAATTGCGTCGAGCTTACAGGGCTCGCAATTTCGCCCAAGTAAAATCCACTTGCGTTGGAAACCATAATCTTAACTATGCCTTTTTTGATACAACCAATCTAATAAATTATCAGAACTATTGATTGAGAATCCAGCTTCACCTGCAAACTGAATTTGAAAAAAATCAACTCACTCAACTTAAAATTTTGAAACCAAGCTAAGAACATATTTCCCTGATACCAAGTTCCCCATCAAAATTTGAGGCAAATCGGTCGAGGAACCTGAGTTATTATCGGACATAAAAACACACAAACAACTGAACAGAGATTGATACTATAAATTTATGGAAAAAGTAAGCTCTGTTTGTCCGTTTGTATGTCCGATCATACCTCGTAAACCGTTTGACTGATTTGCCTCAAAGTTTGACAAAGGAACTCGCTAGACATTTTCGGAAAAATTTAGATTAATTTTAAATCTATTAAATAATATTAGGATTCCAATTCTGGTTCTTTTTCTAAAAAAATTGCGGGGACAGTACTCTGCTGTTTCGGTTCAACGAAATATCCCATGATAATGATGTTTTTAAATAAAGTTTTGCGTCCCATTTTAAATATAGTTTTGCGTCCTGTTTTTAAATATAGTTTTGCGTTCCATTTTAAATATAGTTTTGCGTCAAGTTTTTGAAAATAGTTTTGCAGCCCGATTTTAAATATAGTTTTGCGGCCTGTTTTTAAATATAGTTTTGCGTCCTGTTTTTGAATATAGTTTTGCGTCCTGTTTTTGAATATAGTTTTACGTCCTGTTTTTAAATATATTTTTGCGTCCTGTTTTAAATATAGTTCTGCGGCCTGTTTTAAATATAGTTTTGCGTCCTGTTTTTGAATATAGTTTTGCGTCCTGTTTTTGAATATAGTTTTGCGTCCTGTTTTTAAATATAGTTTTGCGTCCTGTTTTAAATATAGTTCTGCGGCCTGTTTTAAAATATAGTTTTGCGTCCTGTTTTTTAATATAGTTTTGCGTCCTGTTTTTAAATATAGTTTTTCGTCCTGGTTTAAATATAGTTTTTCGTCCTGTTTTAAATATAGTTTTGCATCCTGTTTTAAATATAGTTTTGCGTCCCGTTTTTAAATATATTTTTGCGTCCTGTTTTTAAATATAGTTTTGCGTCCTGTTTTAAATATAGTTCTGCGGCCTGTTTTAAATATAGTTTTGCGTCCTGTTTTTGAATATAGTTTTGCGTCCTGTTTTTGAATATAGTTTTGCGTCCTGTTTTTAAATATAGTTTTGCGTCCTTTTTTAAATATATTTTTTCGTCCTGGTTTAAATATAGTTTTTCGTCCTGTTTTAAATATAGTTTTGCGTCCCGTTTTTAAATATAGTTTTGCGTCCTGTTTTTTAATATAGTTTTGCGTCCTTTTTTAAATATAGTTTTTCGTCCTGGTTTAAATATAGTTTTGCGTCCTGTTTTAAATATAGTTTTGCGTCCCGTTTTTAAATATAGTTTTTAGATTTTTAGGAGGCTCCACAAAAACCTGAAATGTGAATCCTATTTTAAAATTGCATGCTACACAAGTTGGCTTTTATTAATTTATGCAATATTTTTATTCTGCCCAATAAAATTGACAAAAACGGTTTTCAAAACGATATTTTGTTTAGAAAAATCGTTATGGATAATATTTTTGACCTCATCATAATGCTAGTTTATACTGTGTATTCTCCTTTATAAAGAGAAAACTGTTGTTAACTATTTCCAGCTGATTAGATGTGAACATAAACACTTAGTTGATTGTTAATATGCTGAAAATGTACAATCAGATGGGAGGGGTGGGAGTCTAGGGGGTCAATAATCCTTTAATTTATATCGGTTTTCCTTCCGCCACTGTAGAACTTTTTCGGATTCCTTTCTTTTGTGTTATACATATTTTTGTTTGTCTTTTTTCAAGTCAATTCTTTCAAAAGTTGTTAATATAAACTTAAAAAGTTTTTTATTGCTTTCAAAATGTATTTATTTGATTTCTTTTTTCATTTTTTAGGGGAACAAGACGGACCTATCTTCTCTTCTATCTCCTCTCTCACTAGATTTAGGAGTATCATTGCTGCCTGAGCAGGTTTGATTTAATGTATGTATGGCGCGTTCCACGCCTTCTTAGTTTTTTGTCGAAGAACGCAGATCAATTTCTCTTTAATTTTTTTAAAATCAAAATATAATTATTGTAAGAATTTGATCTATTCCGTACTTTTTTCACAAGTTTTTTTTCACGTTTTCTAACGTCTTTTTTTCGATCCGTAGCAAACAAAACTATATTGGTAGTGGTGGGACATAATTTAATAATCAAGAAAATATAAAAAGGTGAAAACGAACCAAAAAAAACGATAGTTTTTGGTTTGTTTTTTGCAGATATTTTCTCTCAAGGTCAAAATCTGGTATAGTGTAAGGAGAGGAAATCTTAAAAATTTGTCAATATTAAAAAATTTTTGCAAAACCCTCCAATTCCAAAACAAAGCAAGTTAGTTCCCATCACTACATTTAAAAGTTGTACGAATTGTTTCATCGTTCTTGAAAGCTACAAACGGACAGAAAAGTACAAATTTAAAATTGATGGTATTAATTTTAAATATTCATCTTCCAAAGGTGAAGAGTAAAACTTGTTAAAAGTATTCACGGTTCTGGAATACTTATTACAAACTTTTTCCAGTTTTGAGATTAAAATATGAAATGTTTGTTACAAATATATATTCCATACAGGGTTAATTTTAAAGGATGATAATTCATTCACGATTGTTTTTGTTACTTTCTAAATCTATACAACCTGAGCTTAAATTCGCGGCTTATTAGAACTCTTAGCCTATATATATTAAAAAGATGTAGTATGATGTAGTCTATAACAACTCTTAGCGTATATATATTTATAGATTGAGGACGATATAGCTTATCAGAACTCTCATCGTATATATATTAATAGATTGAATACGATATAGTTTATCAGAACTCTCAGCGTATATATATTTATAGATTGAGTACGATATAGCTTATTCGAACTCTCAGCGTATATATATTTATAGTTTGAATACGATATAGTTTATCAGAACTCTCAGCGTATATATTTTTATAGATTGAGTACGATGTAGTTTATAAGCTGGAGGTTCAAGTTATTTCTCAGTTTGGAATACTCTCGGAGCCTCAAACTATAGGTATATAATATTAATGGTTTCATAGAAGTTAAGCTCTTGTTGTCACAAACTCAAGTTTTCTAATCCCTTTATCTTGGTAACCCAATGTTGTAAATCTTTGATATTTCTATGAATTCTGTTTGATAAAATTATCTAAGTTTAAAATATCAAATGAAGACACCAATAGATTGCAAAGTTGCAGAGTTTGTTGGAAGAACTCAGTTACATTGCGTTGTACCATGCTTAACTACTATTTTAAGTACAAGAGTGCTTGGGAATGATTTTAAATCGGGAAAGGAATTAAGTCTTTGTAAAAAATTCCTAAAATTGGCAATAAACCGATGTAGATCTTTGATATTTACAATATGAGTTCTGTTAGATCTAAAAGTCTAAGTTTGAAATATCAAAGGTTTACACCTAGCTTCAGGTTGCAAAGATTTAGGGATTACACAGTTTGTGGCAAAAACTTCCTTTTCAATGAGATTGTAATCTATATGTTTACAGAAGAACTGGTTGAACCAACCCCTCTCATTCATTAAATTTCATAGATATACAGGGTGTCCCACATCATGTTAGATCGACAAAGGCTCTAAATTACGATATTCGGGACTAATCAGAAAATTTAAGAATAATGAATCATTTTGAAAAATTTAATGATGCCAATCTAAACATTTTCTTGTAGAAAAAACTAGATTTTTTCGAGTATTATGTGTTTATTTCGGTGTTAAGGCTTGGAGATAATCTAATATGATATGGGACACTCTTGCATTAATCTTCAATTCAATTGATATTTTTAAACTTTCTGTAAAGAAATCTCAGGAATTGTTTTATTAAATTAACAATTAAGTATCCTTTCAAAATTTTTTTATTTCATTAATTTTCTTTTTTATCTTTTTACTTTGTTACATTAAACATATTATAATGTTAGTTATAACAAAGGTTTGCTATTAACAGCCTTCATTTCCTGGAATTACCAAGCACTATATTATAAAAGCTTGAGATGAAAGTATTAATGAAAAATTCTCAACATTTTTCCACCAAATAGAAAATAATTACTTTACTGTAGAATGCTTGCTTGCTGAACAAAAATAATTAAAGATTACAATCCCGATTTATCTGCACCAGAGGAATCTGTTTTCAGGAGTTGAAAATAAATGTAAACTCCATGTTCAAAAAAACTCAAATTTTCTAATCCATTATTTCATCCATCAGAATTCATATTTTGAAATTTCGAAGGTCTACAACATTAATTAAAAATCACAGTTTGGGAAAAAGACTCGGTTAAAAAGTTTAGGCTTTATTTTCAAAATGCAAAATATGTCGAGGTCAAAAAAGAGAAAAGTTTTTGAAAGACAAAAGATTGATTAAAAAAAAAAATCGACCTTAAGAAACACAGATGGACAAAAAAGTTGACTTGTATAATTCAGAAGGAAAGTATTAGGTTGGATTTAAAAATGAAGGATATTGCTATTGATGAAAAAGAATGGTTAAATATTTTGTTATTTTTAGAATTCGTGAAACCAAGTTCCGGTAACAGTGTATCTGTATCCGTTAACGGACCTAATACTTTGAAACCAGATACAAATCTTCGACTCCAGGTAGATCCGCAGTATTATAATAGTTATCTGTATCCGTTAACGGACCTGATACTTTGAAACCAGATACAAACCTTCGGCTCCAGGTAGATTAGCAATATTACAATAGTTATCTGTATCTGATACAAACCTTCGGCTCCAGGTAGATTAGCAATATTATAATAGTTATCTGTATCTGATACAAACCTTCGGCTCCAGGTAGATTAGTAATATTATAATAGTTATCAGTATCTGTTAACGGACCTGATACTTTGAAACCAGATACAAACTTTTGGCTCCAGGTAGATTAGCAGTATTATAATATTTATCTGTATCTGATACAAACCTTCGGCTCCAGGTAGATTAGCAGTATTATAATAGTTATCTGTATCTGATAACGGACCTGATACTTTGAAACCAGATACAAAACTTAGGCTCCAAGTAGAGTATTAGTATCATCTATCTATATAATAAAGCTTTTTGCTCATATATATATATATATATGTTAGCTATAGCTGGCAAAACGGCTGGACCAAATGGGCTGAAAAAAAGAGTCTTTAATCTGTACAATTGCCGTATACCATGTTCATAGGATTATTTAAATTCATAATTTGAGCTGTCTTACTGTTCCACTGTATTATTATAATTATTATTATTATTATTTTATAAGTTGTGTTAATAAATATATAACCATTATAATTATCATTACATCATTTTTTATTGTTATCATCATTTATATTATTTTTATTTTTATTATTATTTTTAATATAAATATTTATATAGGCTGACATAGTATCCTGTAACCAGTCTGGATCGGAGTCATCAAATTTTCGGGTAATTTTCTAAATTTTGCAAAATACATTTATCAGAGTTATCAGATTAATCTGATATATCAGAATCTAGACTTTTAAAGTTAATAAAATTCCCGAAATGAGTAATCTTTTCCAAGTAAAAATGTAGACTTGAAAACGACATTTGAAAGCAATAAATATAAAAATATTTGTAGAAACAGAGTTGTGAAGAGATCTGAGATGGAATTTAAAGAATTTGAGCCGCGGTTTAAATCTGCCAAAACCCGGTTTAAATTAAGCGTCGGCTTAAATCTTGAAACATTTGATACAATTTTAAGTGGAACCAACCATATTTAAGCGGCGGTTTAAATTTAAACCGCCGCTCAAATTCTTAAAATTCGGCCACTGAAAGCCTTGATCAATAACATTTTTTATAAATATTTGATTAAACCTAACATCTAACACAAGTCTGGTTGTGTTCTACACTAATTGTGGTCTTGTTGAATCCGCTCTTTTCTCATCTCGATAGTCGAGAGTCATGGCTGTTTAGCATTGAAATTCTAAGACAGGGGAACACTCCCTTTAAATAACTTATTTAGTATTTCTGGACATGTCCCGGCACCGGGCTGGATCTATCCAAGAAGAATTCTCGTATTCTCCAGCTCCCTCCTGCAACTCTGCAGGGTGGACGCACATACAACTTCTCAGGTAGCATCAGTGTGGACACACATACAACTACTCAGGTAGCAACAGGGTGGACGCACATACAACTACTCAGGAAACAACCGTGTGGACGCACGTACAACTTCTCAGGTAGCAACAGGGTGGACTCGCATACAACTTCTCAGGTAGCAAAAGGGTGGACGCTCATACAACTACTCAGGTAGCATCAGGGTGGACGCACATACAACTTCTCAGGTAGCAAAAGGGTGGACGCACATACAACTACTCAGGTCCGGTAGCAACAGGGTGAACGCACATACAACTTCTCAGGTAGCAAAAGGGTGGACGCTCATACAACTTCTCAGGTAGCAACAGGGTGGACTCGCATACAACTTCTCAGGTAGCAAAAGGGTGGACGCTCATACAACTACTCAGGTAGCAACAGGGTGGACTCGCATAAAACTTCTCAGGTAGCAAAAGGGTGGACGCTCATTCAACTACTCAGGCAGCATCAGGGTGGACGCACATACAACTTCTCAGGTAGCAACAGGGTGGACGCACATAAAACTTCTTAGGTAGCAAAAGGGTGGACGCACATACAACTACTCAGGTAGCAACAGGGCGGAAGCACATACAACTACTCTTGTAGAATCAGTGTGGACGGATCTCTGTGACGTCCCAGCCACACGAAAATTAAAGCAAAGGAACCAACGAGGTTATAGTGTATAGAGTAATGATGTTCGCTAATCCTTTACTAATTGTATACGCCATAAACTATACCGAGAGCGTACTGCATATTTGTTTATATAAGTTGATTCTGGCCTAACCTATAGTATATCAATATTAGTAAACAGTACAGCTAACTATTAGCACTCAGGTAGAGAACTATTATCCCCCGGCCCTTAAAGGAACTGAACACTCGCTACAGATTTTCTAATCCTTTTAAACCTCTTCAAGTTGTTGATTTAAATCTTAAATATTTTAAACTTAGACTCTTTAATCCAGCAAAATCTTGTTTGAAATAAAAAAGGTCTACAATACCAGATTGCAACCATGAAAGGATTAGAAAATTTGAGTTTGTAGCAAGTGTTAAACTTACAGCTTTATTCCACTTATTTTCTAATATATTCAGTATTGGTTATATCTGAGGGTTCGAATATGACTGGGTCAGGTAGCTTGGAGGTCAGCGTACACCAGCTGGGACCCCTGGCGGTCACATCAGCAAATAAACTCACCTTCGGGACCGGGTCTAGGATAGTCTTAGACGCAGTGCTCTCAAAAGATCAGGATAATACACCAGGAGACCTCAAGGTTAGTTTTTTGCCTTCATTTTCTAAAAATGTATAACGCAAAAAAAATGTTCAATGTTTTTAGCCAATTTCTTGTTTCAGATGTTTAATAATTCTTTGATTCATATTTATTTTAATTTTTTATATGATGTTGCATGAAGACTTTCAATTATTTCAATCATTATTATTTTCTGGAATTCTGATGTTTTTCATTTCATCTTTCATCTCTAAATCTTCTTATTCTCATTCATCTTTTTTTAAAGATTTAAATAATCTTTTTACGATTTTGCACTTGCGCTTTCCAGCACAATAATATCAAGATATCTGTTTTTTTTTCTATTCAAATTTGTTCTTCTAGAGTACCATATCTACATTCAAATGGCTTTAATGTTGCCATTATTTCACCAAAAGCCATGAAAACTTGAATTACAACATTACAATTGTTCTAGCTTTATACAGTGTACAGCTAGTACCGAAAATTAAACATGAACTAATGCCGTGTAGATAAAAGCAGATCGACAATTTGCATTCCAGTCAAAATTTTTCGGTCACCAGTGTATAAACTGGGATATCGTCGTTACATGTTCGCGGGTTGGTTTTTAGAAAAATAAAATTTTAATTCAAATTAGAAAATGCAGCTTTATATGAAAAAATTCTGAAATGTGAGCTAAAACATTTGTATCATAAGATTTTTAAAAAAAAAATTAAGAAATAACTCAAAATAGTTCTTTACTCGTGTTTTTAATCTTTCAAGTGTTTAAAAAATATTTAACATAAATTGTACTTAATACCTCTGTATTTATTGCCATTGTGATTGATTAAAGAAAATAATAATATTTAATAAAAACATATTATCATTCTTACGAGAATAAAATCAAATTAAATAATGAATTATACATTTTCTGATTTTGTCAGAATAGTTTCTTTAAGGGTTAATTATTTAAACTTAGTTTTAATGACTTGTTAATTTTAATGTACATTAGTTTTTATTTAATTTATTTCTATGTTTAGTTTGAATGGCTTTGTCGTACTCTGGATGGAAATGGTTGTTTTAAACAAAACAGTTCTCTTAGGAAAATGTTCAGAATATTTATTTTAGAATTAGAAATTATTTTTATATTTATTATAAAATTTATTATTTATTTGTATTTTAGAAATAACATAAATATAAAAAATTATTAATTTACAATTTTAATTAAGTCTTTGTGTGTCTAGTGTAAACAGTAACACTTCCTTCAAGCTTGTTTTAAAACGAATAAAAATGAAAACGTAAATATGTTTTTTTGATGTAGGGGAAATAACTGATTATCTTTTATCTTTTTTTATTACTAGTTCATCAAGGTTTCGTGCCCATCTTCTATTTTAACTTTTAAGTGTTGTTCAATCTTTTGGCATTTTCTATTCGATAAAACTATAATAAAAAATTATGCGAATTTACATACTTTCGTGGATTTTCAAAATTTTACAAAAAATCAAAGTTTTTGAATACAATTCGTATTTCTCAGCATCCATAAACCTTCCCTGGGGTCATGTGAGGTCCCCCCCAAAAAGTTGGTCCCGATCGGTTTAGCCGTTTGACGTTAATCAATTACAAACAAACAAAGAAAAATTAAATTGTCGCTCAGATGATTTTCTGCTAACATATTTTTTAATTTTTGGCCATTTTCCCTTTAAAAATATTTGATAGGATAAAAACACATTTAAAAAAATAAAGTTATATCAAGCTTCAAGGAAGAGTTTAAAATTTCTTTTTGCTGAAAAAACCCTGAAAATTATGTTCAGACTGGAGGAAACCCTTGCTGTCGGTACACTGAATAAGAGCTATGTCACACTTCCCAGCAGTACCTTAGTACCCGGCAGGTAAATACCTTGCGGGATTTCAAACTTGTAAACAGTGCATGCAAGTCTTTCATTAGGTTCTCTGGTAGTTAAAAAGATTATTGTTATGATTTCAAGTACTCTTTTTATATGCATTTATATGATCAATAATGTGTCTAATTATAACAATTTACAACGGTACCCATAAAAACATGCTTTTGATTATTCAAACTGTTTTTTTTTTATTTGTGGTTTCTCAGCCAAAGTGACTTGCGCATTTCTTGCAATTATTAGCGATGGAAAACTTTACAGAAATAAACACTTTTCGATTATTAAGAACGACGTTATCTTCCATATTTTTGATCAGATTAAGGTTTCAAGGGTACCGTTGTAAATCGGACATTGCTATATTTGGATTGAGGGTCAAGCTTATTACCGTCCCTAAAAACATAAATATTGTTATTATAGGTATAATATGACTGTAGTTGTTGCAAAGAATGGTTTAAACTCAACAGCTTCAGTTGAGGTAAATTAGTTTACTAGCTTTGAAACCCAGCTTTGCCTTGAAACTTAATTTTTTAACTTTAATAGTCAACCTACTCAATTTTATATATTTGACCCAAGCTAAGAACATTCCCGTAGTTCTACCAAGTATATATAATTTATAATAATGGGTTCATGAGTTATAATCCTATATATACATACAAAGAAACAATCAGAGAAAGGAATTGAGTTTTTGCCACAAACTCGGATTTTCCTATCCCTATATCTTGTTAACCTGAGGGCAAAAACCTTTGATATTTCAAACTTAGGTTTTTTTTGAAGAATTCATAGTTTGAAAGATCTAAGGTCTACGACATTGGGTTGAAAAGATAGAGATTAGAAAATCAGAGTTTATGGCAAAGACTCAATTCCTACTTAATATGTAGATACAATCATACAACGCTGTATATTGTTGTTGACACAAATAAAAGAACAACAGGGATATTCGGTAACTTTATTGAATAATAGCATGAAATGAGAAATAAAAGCAAAGTTTAAAAATATTGGCCCTTAATTGGGAGTATCTAAACGGTTGAAAATGAAATAACATTGATTAATAGTGTTGAAAGGAATGGAACAGTTGGAGCTTCATGATGGTCAGCTCACAGGTGTCAGCATCTTGGCAGCAAAGGGTTCACATCTAGGCGACGGTCCTGGAGGGTTTGCAGTCTGTAACATGTGTAGGGAGGAACTGATTGCCTCTCAACCCCGGGACATGCGACTGCTTTGTGGATTTGGACATGATGGAGGCTTAGACATTAGCAGCATTTGTTGCTAGAGTAGACATCGGCGGCAGTATGAAGGAGTTAGTAGTTCCAGATCAGAGGTGTTCACATCTCGACATTCTAAAGCTAACTGACGCTGCTCTCCACAAGTAGAGGCGGTAAAGGGGGGGGGGAACTTGAGGAGACACATTTGGAGCGGATATAGTATTATGTATTGTGAATCTTGTGCGGTCAACTTCGCTACACAGTAGTAATCGTCTTCGTGTTTTCTTGAATTTGTTACAATTGTGTTTTGGTCAAATCCTCCACGAAAGAAACATGTTTCAGAGGAAGTTCAGAAAGCACATTGTTGTCTGCGCGCTAAAGAATTTATAAATTCTGTTTATTCCATTATTTTTCTTTTTTAAAGGGACTTTACAGTATATCATTTAGATATATATAATCTAGGCATGGAAAACATAATTTAATCTCAAAATTGTTTTATTTCAAAATTGTATATTGTCATCTAAGTCTTTTATTCTTTCCCATGTCGGATAAAAAATAAGAATATGATTTTGCACCTTTAAGATTAAACTTGATTGATGCTCTGTTTAGTAGTACATCATTTAACAAAAATGTTTTCGTAAACAATTTGTAAAAAGGAATATAAAATCCACCAACTTAATGTTTACTGCATCTAGCTAGGTAGCTAAAGTTAATGAATCTATAAGAGCTCTACAGACCACAGGGTGTCTATTAATCATAACAGAGCCGCGCCGCCATTTTGAACCAATTTTTTTTTATTCGACAATATCTATACAGTGTACTATAAGCATACGATGCGTTATAATGTATATAACATTTGTGCCAGAGTCTAAGTTTTGGTCCAAAAGAAGAAAAAAAGGTTCAAAATTGAGGTTTTTTATGAGTAACCCCATGTATGTCTCTTGGTAGAAATAGCTTATCCTGGAACCACCCACCTATATCTCCTATATCTATAGGTATTAATAGTATCCTGGAATCCACCAGCTATATCTCCTATATCTGTAGGTAGAAATAGTATCCTGGAATCCACCAACTATATCTTCTATATCTATAGGTAGAAATAGTATCCTGGAACCCACCAACCATATCTTCTATATCTATAGGTAGAAATAGTATCCTGGAATCCACCAACTATATCTCCTATATCTATAGGTATCAATAGTATCCTGGAATCCACCAACTATATCTCCTATATCTAGGTAGAAATAATATCCTGGAATCCACCAACTATACCTCCTATATCTAGGTAGAAATAGTATCCTGGAACCCACCAACTATATCTCCTATATCTAGGTAGAAATAGTATCCTGGAATCCACCAACTATATCTCCTATATCTATTGGTATCGATAGTATCCTGGAATCCACCAACTATATCTCCTATATCTAGGTAGAAATAGTATCCTGGAATCCATCAACTATATTTCCTATATCTAGGTAGAAATAATATCCTGGAATCCACCAACTATATCTCCTGTATCTAGGTAGAAATAGTATCCTGGAACCCACCAACTATATCTCCTATATCTAGGTAGAAAAAGTATCCTGGAATCCACCAACTATATCTCCTATATCTAGGTAGAAATAGTATCCTGGAACCCACCAACTATATCTCCTATATCTATGGCTACAAGATATAACCCCAGAGAGCGGATAACTATAAATGGTAAGAATCAGATTGAAAATATCTATTATCTCAGCTGGGAGCTTCTGTGTTGGATATTCATATTTCTGATAGCTTGGTCTTAATATTCACTGTGGGTCATTTTAGAATCAATGATTAATATTGAATAAAGATTACATCAATTTGTTGATAGAAATCAAGCATTAATCTTGAAATCCACAATACAAGAGTTTCCAACTTGTTCTTATCTTATTTTACATTTTGAATCTTTTTTTTTTTAAATTAATGTTTAAACTAATTACAAGTAAATGAATTATTTATCATGTAATTTAAACTAATTTGTCATCGATTAATAAATAGATTATTAAAATCAGTATGAAACGTTGAATTGGGTTTAATTCATCGATTTTTTTTATCATTCATTGGTAGATTTATTGATTGATTTTATTTATTTCTGATCAATGGTTCTGCTGTTACCTTTGTACAGTCGATCGGTTGATTGATTATGGTTAGCTCTGATCAATGGATCTGCAGGTACCTGTGTACAATGGATTGGTTGATTGATTATATTTAGCTCTGATCAATGGATCTGCTGGAACCTGTGTACAATGGAGCAGTGTTGCTCAAGATGGATTTAGTTTCCTTGAGGATTTACAGCTCTATACTAAGTACAATATTTACACTATCACTACACATAAAACTGTGGACTATAGGAATACGACATACAAGCAATATTATATTTTCTGTCTTTAATGCAAATAGTTTTACCATTAGCTTAAAAACCAACTTTTGAAGAGGATACGTCGTAAAATAACAGTCGTGTTCCTATTCTACAATTTGTATCACTGTATAAACTAAACAATTATACATTCCGGAGCAAAAAAACATTAGAATTAATCCCACAACAAACCACACAACTTTCCAGACCAGGCCAACTTCGGAGTGTCGCCTAGCCTTTGCTCTTTATTTAATTTTTCAATTTTTTTTGTAAAAATCAAAGTTTAATTCTGCTGAGAATTTAAAAAATCTTATAAAAATTTAAAAATTAAAAAAATCTTATAATGTTATTAAAAAACTTCAAGTGTTTAAATTTCAATGAAAGCCTTTTGTCGCTCGGAAAATTTTTACATTTAATGATTGCATTATTTTTCTAAATCTTTTATATTTGCCCTTCGCATTTTTTGAATTATTCTTTTAGAAAAAAAATCTTCAGATAGAAAAAAAACACGTTTTTTGTAATGCATTATTGCGCATTTTGTTTTTCTGGGATACAAAACATGAAAAATCCATATTTTTATTCAGATCTGCAGCATCACAGTGCTTCAATCTATATTTTTATTCAGATCTGCAGCATCACAGTGCTTCAATCGTGATACAACAGTCAGGGACGAAAAATTATGATTTTTTAATATATCAAAGTAAATTTCAAATGCAGGTGGCGCGATGCGTCCTGAATTCTTATATTTTTGCAAAGTAGTATTCAATTCTAAATTTATTTCAAGCTAATTTTTTTTTTCAAGAATTCTTTTATAAATGCAGATAGAGAAATTTCTTCAAATTCTATCAAAATTAATTCTATATTTAGAATTTTACTTCAATATACATAGAGATACATTTGTTTTAATTTAGAAAATGGAAATTAAGATTTCAAAGCTTGGTCATATAGAATTTATAGCTTTAATTAGAAATAAGCTAAAGATTTAAGTTTTTAACTGTTATGATATAGATATCATTGAAAATGTTTTCAGTATAATATAACAGTTATAAATACTAAATCCTTTAACTTTTAAATTTTTTTATTTTTAAACTAATTTTTTATCGCATTGATAAATGAAACTATCCTGTCTTGGAATTTTTTAGAAACTTTTTAATGAACGAGTTTTTTGCTAAATAAAGGGAGTTCCCATTAGACCTGCCAGCTCCTAGCTTCAAATTTAAAGGATTACAGGGCGGTGCTAGGTAAAGTATACACTATACAGGGCGGTGCTAGGTAAAGTATATACTATGCAGGGCGGTGCTAGGTAAAGTATACACTATACAGGGCGGTGCTAGGTAAAGTATACACTATACAGGGCGGTGCTAGGTAAAGTATACACTATACAGGGCGGTGCTAGGTAAAGTATATACTATGCAGGGCGGTGCTAGGTAAAGTATACACTATACAGGGTGGTGCTAGGTAAAGTATACATTATACAGGGAGAACCAGAAAACTGGGGACTAGTAAGACAACATTAATGCAAAATTTAAGTGTATTTGATGTTGTTACAGAAAAAAAACGTTACTAGTAACTTATTAAATGACTTATTATGTAATATGGGTCTGTTTACACTGCACAATTGGTGTGTCTCAATGGACTATTTAAAGTCTAGAATGAAATAGGGAGATTTTTGTTATAATGAACGTTAATCGCGCCGATATATTTTTTAACATCCAGCAGCTAGAACAAACATTTCTCCCTGGAATTTCTTAAAGGGATTTTGGTAATTTTTATGCCAAACCCCTTTCATGACTGGGGGTAGAAGGGGAAAATTATTTTTTTTGTAATTAAATAAATCNCCAAGCCGCCTCTGGATACAGTGTGATGCAAGGATTAAATAAATTGAATACATATTTAATTATGATTACTAAGAAAGGGATCTCCAATCAAAGTTTCTACCACAAAAAAAGCTTTAATGAAAAAAGAAAGTCCAAAGAAAAACATGATCCAACTTCATAGAATTAAGTATTGCTGTTCATGTTTTTATGTTTAGGTACAAATTCAAGGTGATAGCCTCTCATCCAACTGCAGGTCAATTTAGTCTTTAAATATTTTACTAGTGTTGCTATTATTTACCTTAATTTAGTCTTAAATTATAGTTTTAGATGTTTAGTCCCCGGCGTTGCCCGTGGAATTTCAAAAATATTCAAAATTTTCTAAGCCTATGTGTCACCACTCACCATTCACCCTCGGGGAACCAATGGGTTCCCTCAACAAATGTCAGCTAATTTGGTCCAGCCGTTAATGGCCAGCTAAAGCAAAAAATATATACATATGTACATTGTACACCGATATAGGGTTAATTAAAATTAAAATTACGAGGGTTCAAACAAACAGTTGGTTCTCATCCTTTACAATAATTCAAATTAAGTATATTATAATTTAACTTCAATATCTAATCAAGTTTTTTATAGGAGCTGTTCATGAAATGTTTTGTAAAAAATCACAAAACTAGAAAAACATTGATTTTAAGAAAAAGCAGACAAGAAAGTATTTTTGATATTTAAAATTTAAAATCAAAATTTAGGGAATGCCGAAGCCACAGTGGAGGTCGAAACTTTATCTCCTCCAGTACCCGGCCTAATTCAGGTAGATACCTCCAGTACCCGGCCTAATTCAGGTAGATACCTCCAGTACCCGGCCTAATTCAGGTAATACCTGGCTTAATTCAGGTAGATACCTCCAGTACCCGGCCTAATTCAGGTAGATACCTGGCTTAATTCAGGTAGATACCTTCAGTACTCGGTCTAATTCAGGTAATACCTGGCTTAATTAAGGTAGATACCTCCAGTACCTGGCCTAATTCAGGTAATACATGGCTTAATTTAGGTAGATACCACCAGTGCCCGGCTTAATTAAGGTAGATACCACCAGTAACCGCTTAATTCAGGTAGATACCTCCAGTAACCGGCCTAATTCAGGTAGATACCTCCAGTACCCGCTTAATTCAGGTAGATACCTCCAGTAACCGGCCTAATTCAGATATACCTACTTTACCCGGCTTAATTCAGTTTTGTTTAGGTGTCCCCTGAGTCAGGGCTTGGAATGAAGACGAACTTTACAATTAGTGGGGTAGAGTTTTCAGATACAGATCCTCCTCTCTCATATAGCTTTGGATACTTGGATACAGAGATACAGGATACCAGGTGATACAAGGGTATACAGGATAAAAGGTGATACAAGGGTATACAGGATACCAGGTGATACAAGGGTATACAGGATACCAGGTGATACAAGGGTATACAGGATAAAAGGTGATACAAGCGGATACAGGGGATGCAAGGGGATACAGGGGGATACAGAGGAATACAGAGGGATACAAGGGGATACAAGGGGATACAGGGGATTAAGGGGGATACAGGGGGATATCAGGGGATACATGGGGATACAAGGGGATACAGGGGGATACAAGGGGATACAGGGGATACAGGGGGATACAATGGGATACAGGGGATACAAGGGGGATACAAGGGGGATACAAGGGGATACAGGATGATATCAGGGGATACATGGGGATACATTGGGATACAATGGGATACATGGGGATACAAGGGGATACAAGGGGATACAGGAGATAAAATGGGATACAGGGGATGCAAGGGGATACAAGGCGACACAGGATGATATCAGGGGATACATGGGGATACAAGGGGATACAGGGGGATAAAATGGGAGACAGGGGATACAAGGGGGATACAAGGGGGTGCAGGGGGTACATTTAAGACCTAGATTCAGGAAACCAGACTAATCATGAAATGTAGAAATGCAGTCAGAGTTTTTTAGTTTATTTTAAGCTAAGTCTTTTCTTTTGTCCCATAGAATATGTACTATCATTCAATACTCGTTCATTCTATTGTCTCACCTCAAAGAGCTTTTTAATATAAAGAGTTGGCATTGGGATTTATACGCAAAACTATTCTACTGTCTTTGTCTTACCTTTTACTAATTTAGTAGAACTTTATTATTCTTTCATTAATTAATGAAAGAGAGGAAGCATAATATAATTCGTAATTGAGAGTGAACCTTTGATCAAGTAAAATATGGAATTATTTAAATACATGTGCTCTTAAAGGGGGTGTTCCCGAAAAATGAAAGGGGTTATAGGCTTACGTCGAAAAATATTCGATGGTGATTGCTACAAATAACTGTTGCGTCCATAAGGAGAAAATGGTTAAAAACGACTCATACCGAAGAACGTAGCGTCCATACAAATTCAGAAAGTTGCAATATTTGACTCGGATCTTAAAAAAAGTCAATTTAATTCCAAACAAATCATTTAGATATTAGAACCTGTGATCATCGATTTTTTTCTACGCATTCGTATATAGTTGATGTTTCATAATATTTTAATTTTTTTATGATCCGAGAGTTACTTTTGAAAACATTCATTCCTGTTTCAAGGATTTTTTATAATGAAGACGACATTTTCATATTTTCCAGGAATGTTTGAAAATCCAGCGTCAGTCGTGAAAACAAGTTGTAAACGAAATGATGATTATAAAATCTACTATTAAATATGAACTATATATTTTCAGAAAGGAATTGAGTCATTGCCACAACCTCTGATTTCTTATTCCTATAACTTTGCAACCAAAGTTCATCGATTTAGATTAGACATTTAAAACATTTAAATCTGTAAGACCAAATGATTTAAATTCTAAAATATCAAAAACGTTTAAGCCATCAGAGATTTAAACATTTTAGTATGTGGCAAAGTCTCAATTCCAATAATAAACATATAAATCTAAGTGAATAAATGTATCAATTGCTTAGGTTTCTTGTCCACGGTTTTATAGTTTTCAATAATGACATATTCCCTGTCCATGTCTACGTTGTAAATGGTTTATTCCCGAAATAAGATCATTAGATGACGTTTTATTCAAGCTAAATTTTTGATGACGGATACCGGATATTTTCATTTATTCATTATTCTGGGATCCTTGCATTAAATTCAATTCCAGAAAGTGCAACGATTTTATGTTATCAATTAAAAATATTGAAATTTATGTTAGATGATTATCATATTGAAATACCATTATTTAAAGATGCACGATTCACAATAGCATATCTTTTACTTTGTCTGAGTCATAATGATATCCTGCCTTTGTATCTGAAAATTGATGAGCTTGAATTATGGTTCCTTCTATAAAAGTGACTATATGAGAGACAATAAATGAGGTTTACAGAGTTTAACATTTGAAAGATCAGGTCCATATTTTCCTCATTGTTATTTGTTGCTTAGATATCTGTTTAAATTGTACTGTTGAGAATCGAGCAGGCTTAATAATAAATTGTATGGACACATGAAATTACGTTTAAAGGTTCTCCAAATTAACAGATTGCCAATTTTTAAGATATTTACAGCAATCTTTTTCAGCGCACATTATGACATTTTAAAATTACGTTTTTGTCTCAAAAATTCTGCAAGTTTCGAAGGCTAAAACTAAAACAGCAAACGATAAAATGGGTTTTCAAAAAAAAAATTTCAATCAATTTTATCAATTTTATTAAAAAAATGTTTTTAAGTACACTACACAGCGGAAAATGAAACTATTGAATATACTGTTTTAAAACGACCCAGCATGCAATGATGGCTATTCTCGATTCACAACAGTACCCGGGAAAATTTTGTCTTAAAACAATTAAAAGAAATATTGTTTTTAGTTGTGGCTCCTCTACAAAAGTGATTTGCGCAGAAAATTTATTATAATTATCAGAAATCAACACTTTTAAATCTAGAAAAACGACAATATCTTCCACATTATTGATCAGATAAAGGTTACAAGGGTATCGTTGTAAATCGGACACTGTCATCTTTGCATAGAGGATTACTTAAGCTTAAAAAGTAAAAAGAAAACATGTTTAGATGGTTAGGACGCCAGCTGTCAAGTAACTCTATCCAGACTCTACTACCTGCCAACCAACAAGGGGTTATCCTTGTAGTCGAAGTTTGTGATATATACAAGGTATAAAACTAAATTCAAAACAGCCTGTGTGCAGGGCTGGGCAAAATTCTATTAGGTTTTTGGAATTTAACACAGTAAAGTTCGTTAACGAACGGCAAAAATCCACATAGATTATCAATAGGTAGCAAGGTCTGTAGATATTCTAGGTCTGTGGTAACCACTAAGATATTCTAGGCCTGTGGTAACCACTAAGATAGTTTAGGTTTGTGAAACCACTAAGATATTTTTGGCCTGTGAAACCACTAAGATATTCTAGGCTTACGTGTACCAACTAAGATATTCTAGGCTTGTGTAACAGCTAAGATATTCAAGCCTTGTGTTTCCACTAAGATATTTTAGTTTTGTGTAACCAGTAAGATATTCTAGGCTTGTGTTTCCACTAAGATATTCTAGCCTTGTGTTTCCACTAAGATATTTTAGTCTTGTGTAACCACTAAGATATTCTAGGCTTGTGTAACAACTAAGATATTCTAGGATTGTGTAATCACTAAGATATTCTAGGCTTGTGAAACCACTAAGATATTATAGCCTTGTGTAACCACTAAGATATTATAGGCTTGTGTAACCACTAAGATATTCTAGCCTTGTGTAACCACTAAGATATTCTAGGCTTGTGTAACCACTAAGATATTCTAGGCTTGTGTAACCACTAAGATATTCTAGGCTTGTATAACCACTAAGATATTTTAGTCTTGTGTAACCACTAAGATATTCTAGCCTTGTGTAACCACTAAGATATTCTAGACTTGAGTTTCCACTAAGATATTCTAGGCTTGTGTAACCACTAAGATATTCTAGGCTTGTGTAACCACTAAGATGTTCTAGCCTTGTGTAACCACTAAGATATTCTAGGCTTGTGTAACAACTAAAATATTCTAGACTTGAGTTTCCACTAAGATATTCTAGGCTTGTGTAACAACTAAGATATTCTAGGATTGTGTAACCACTAAGATATTCTAGGCTTGTGTAACCACTAAGAAATTCTAGACTTGAGTTTCCACTAAGATATTCTAGGCTTGTGTAACAACTAAGATATTCTAGGATTGTGTAACCACTAAGATGTTCTAGCCTTGTGTAACCACTAAGATATTCTAGCCTTGTGTAACCACTAAGATATTATAGCCTTGTGTAACCACTAAGATATTCTAGACTTGAGTTTCCACTAAGATATTCTTGGCTTGTGTAACCACTAAGATATTCTAGTCCTGTTTAACCACTAAGATATTCTAGGTCTGTGGTAACCACTAAGACATTCTAGGCTTTTGTAACAAATAAGATATTCTAGGCTTGTGTAACCACTGAGATACCTAAACCAGTTCAAGTCAGTTTTTCAGAGCTCACAGCTGCAGAGATTGTGTAAGTAAAAAATATGGCAGCCAAAATTTATAAAAAATGAAAAATTATATATTTAAAATCTGAGAATTATTATTTAATAATGTAGATTTCCACATAAATATGATTTAACATTTTCATTTTGGATCTTTGTATATTTTTCATAATTAATTGAAATTCGAAGAGTCCATTTTTCAAATTAACATTTCTTTTAATCTTATTGATGTAGAAAGTAGACCATGAGGGATAATGGTTTTTGAAAATCAAATATACAGTTTAAAAGGTTTAGTTTTCTTAATCATATATTGTATTAAGGTGTTTTCATAACATGGTAAATAAGTTTGAGTCATGATAAGAAATATTTGATATTTTTTTTTACCGTGAGAGGAGTTTTTACGATTTTTTAATCCTTCTAAGAATCAATCATAAACCATCTCAATGCGTTTTTGAGAAAGAGAGAAAGACAAGATCAGTAAAATTAATTAGGAATTGAGTCTCTGTCACAAACTTTTTACAACCCGATGTCGTAGACCTTAGATATTTCAAATTATGAAATTTGTCAATTTAAATAATCTAAATTTGAAATATCAAAGGGATAAGGAAATGTGAGTTTGTGGAAAAGACTCAAATCCTTTCTGCATTAAAAGCTTGAACACCGTTACAAATTAACGTGTCATTTTTATTACTTTTGAGGCTTCGATAACATTCTTTCAAATATTTTGTTATCCAATTTAATGCATCAACCTGTTTCAGGTCACTTGGAGAGACAGGTGCTAACCTTGCATCCTCAGGAGCTTGTATTGAGGCATTCGTTTACTTAGATAAACTAATACAGGAGAGTCAATTTATATCAAAATATACAATTCATTTTTATAAAATACAAGCTCAAGAGCTTGACGTTTACCGTAGAAAAATCCTAGATTTTTTTCAGCCTATGTTCCTACCAGCACCCTGGGTATACCCAATGGTTCCCTAGAAAAAATTCCGCAAATTTGGTCCAGCCATTTGGCCTGCTATAGCTACATTTAAACATATATATATGAGCCAAGAGCTTGATTTCATAGATTGGTCTGTGTCCAGGGGCGTACGAGGGCTTTTGTTTGCCTTTGATACCTTTTTAAATTTTTTTTGCCCCCCCCCCCTCCCACCTGGACTTGTTTTGTTCACCATAGAAATACACCAAAAAGACTGCATTTTGGGGTGTTACTAACCTTATAGAGTTTAAAAATTATTCCTTTGCTTGAAAAACTAACTTCTTAACTTTATAAATTTATCACTTAACTCCATCACAGCTAACTAATTCAATAATCACAGCATCATTAAAAATTATATTTTTACTAATAAACGAAATTTCTTCTGAAATTTTTAGATAGAATTTACTCAATCTACATATTGCCCAGTGCCCCGCCTGAAACTTTCAGGGGGGCAAGAGGACTACTGCCCCCCTAGGTACGCCACTGTGCCTGGTCTGAGGAAGGAAAATGCAAGCAGATGCAATATTAAAAGAGCCTCCTCCATTGGCGCCCCCCGCCCTCAGCCTCTCAGAGGGGGGGGGGCACGCGTAGAGGTGGGGGGGGGCGCGGCCCCCTCCTCGTACGCCACTGTCTGTGTCACGTGATTATATAGATATATTTTGTTTTCTAGCCTCAATGCATGTAGAGTATATATGCACTACAGATTTAAGTCATCATTGCCTCAACATTATGAGTACTTAATACATCATACAATCAATAACGCATCCAAGCCTTTCCATATCTTGGTTTTTAAAATGTTTCACTTTTTTTGTTGATTTCTCTTGCAGTGGAAACTAAAACATAATGATATCTCTGTTATCCTTTCTGCGTAATCTTGTTCTTATTGTTAAACGTTTTGAAACTTTATGATTGTAAATTATTCTGTTTGATTAATTGATTTGCGTACAGACTGTGGAGAACTCTGCCGTTCAAACTGAGAACTACAAACCGGTTCTTTGCCAGTTCTACTCCGATATTTTCTTAGAGTGCTCCAGGTTTGCAGTACAAAATAAACTTTCAATAATTGGGTTCAGCCTGAAGAATTTAATTATGAACCGGTATTATTATTTTTTATCTGATCCATGTACAGTGAATTTGATAAGACTTTACCTTGGTCTAAACCAATTGTGAAAAATAAGTATTACTCTGGCAATTTAGCCTTGTGGCTTGTACTCGTACAAGCCTGTTCGATTTTCAGGAAACAAAAGTTTTCGAAATCAAGATAAAATTTTACAATAACAATGCCTAGATTATAGTTCATACCATATATTGTTTTCTATTTCAAGAACAAACTGTTTATTTGCAGGCTGAGTATAAATGATAATATTTATATTTTAGTAAGTATATTACCCAAGCTGACTGTGCTAACAAGGATGAAGGATTAGAACTAATGAACAATATGCTCAGCTCAACCTGTTTACTCACTGTAAGTATATTACATAAATATATTATTTTCTAACAATGATATTATGAAAATATTAGGAATTAAAGGGACTGTAAACGTATTTTCAAGTGGCCCTCCATTTAAATAATAAAATCATGGATCATGGTCCTTTTAATGATGTGCGGATTTTTGGTAATGCAAATTTGGTAATGACAATTTGGTAAGTTTACAAAAGTGACAATTTAGTAATACAATTTGGTAACGACAATTTGGTAATGAAATTTTGGTAACGTTATAAAAGTGACAATTTGGTAATGACAATTTGGTATGCCAATTTGGGTGACAATTTGGTCACGACATAAAAGTGACATTTTGGTAATGACAATTTGGTAAGTTGAAAATTTGATAAAAAAGGGATAATTTGATAAGTTGCTAATTTGCATTTATTAATTATTAATAAATTACATTATGTTAATTGGGTTAGGTTAGGGTTAAAGACAGTTTCTGGGGCGAGGTGCTGCGGCTAGGATGGGCTAGAGGGCCTAGCGCTGCGGCCTTTTTTACCAAATTGAAGTTACCAAAAATCCGCCCCTAAGTTGTAACCCATGATCGGACTGACAACGAGGAAGAGCCGTAATTGAAAAGAATATTTTCAGATGGAAAAACAGGGATTACTCCGTCAATTTAGCTCAGGGTACCGGTGTGAATCGTCCATAACACCAGAAATATTGAGGGTCCCTTGAAATTACGTCTGCACTCCCTTAATCTTTTATCCTAAGTCTGAATACAAAAATGATAATTGTTTTTTTTTGGTGAAGTGAATAGCTTATTAAATATAATCAATTCTATAAAAAAAATAACATTTCCCAGATTTGATTGAATTACGAATGAATAAATAAGAAATACATTCATGAATAAAATATAAATGAATTGATTAATGAGAAAATGTAATAATAAAAAAGTTATGTAAAGGGTATCCCATCACAAATTTCGTTCAGATTTCGTCTCGACAACTCGTACAACTTTTTTTTTGAAACACACTTTGTCATTATATATATACATAGCTATTAAAGATCAAAAAATATCTTAAGAGATGTCTCTTAACGTACAACTGTAAAGTTTAGTCCAATTCACTGAATGAATGATTAAATGAAAAATTGAATAAATGAATAAATGAATAAAGAGATAAATGAATAAATGAATAATTGAATAAATGAATAAATTAATAAATGAATAAATGAATAATTGAATAAATGATTAAATTAATAAATGAATAAATGAATAAAAAAAATAAATAAATAAATGAATAAATAAATAAATAAATAAATGAATAAATGAATAAATAAATAAATGGAAACATGAATTAATGAATAAATGAATAAATGGAAACATGAATTAATGAATAAATGAATAAAGGAATAGGATGAATAGATGAATGAATGAATAAATAAAACAATGAAAGGATGAAAGGATGAATAAATGAACAAATGAATAAATGAATAAATGAATAAATGAATAAATGAATCAATGAGTAAATGAATAAATGAATAAATAAATAAATAAATAAATAAATGAATATATAAATGAATGAATGGGAAATGAATAAATGAATAAACTAATGAATAATATATAAATGAATAAATAAATTAATAAATGAATAGGAGGATGTATATGATGCTGGGGAATCACTAAGTGTAAGAATCCAAGAGGTAGAGAATACCTGCACCCTAGGTAATTACAAATTATATTTTAGAAATATAGGTTTTATATTCTAAATAAATCTTTTGAATGTAATTTGAATTATTAAAATAAATCTGGAAGATCACCAAAATATGTATTTCAAACTCTGATTAAAAATCAATGCAAAATGTTGAATTATTGTTTTAATACAAATAATTAATATACATTTAACAAAAATAAGAATTCCTTCATAAAAAATTGGCTATTTGGTATGCAACAACTTATTTATGCAAGTACATGTAAAACCAGCTCTTTACAAATTTATGCAATTTACTCTAAGAAAAATGTTTATTGGTTCAAATTATTCTGAAATGTTTATTGGTTCAAATTATTCTGAAATGTTTATTGGTTCAAATTATTCTGAAATGTTTATTGGTTCAAATTATTCTGAAATGTTTATTGGTTCAAATTATTTTGAAAGGTTCATTGGATTTATTCTGAAAGGTTCATTGGTTCTATTTATTCTGAAATGTTTTTTGGTTCTAATTATTCTGAAAGTAAATGTATAACATGTTATTAGCTTATTCTTATTATTTTATTGTAGATATATAGTATAAATACATCGCAATAATATATATAATAAAACAAGACATTCGTATATAAATGTATTATGTGTTGCCGGCCGGACCGATTGGGCTGAAATTTTTTGTGGACACTCACGGGTGGTGGGGAATGTTATAGGCTAAAAAGTTTGATTTTTTTTCAAAATTATTTTCAAAATTTTTTTTCCACGGGCAACGCCAGCCCCTTCATCTAGTATATATATATTTAAATGTATGAAGATAATATTTATTCCTCTTAACATGGTATCATGGTCTAGGGAATTGTATGGAGTTAATGATACGTGAAAGAATAAGAACCAAGAATTATATCTATTTTCAGTATGCATATCATATATATACTAGTTTAAGTGCTCAACGTTGCCCGCGGAATCTTTTAAAGTGGAATTTTGAAGAAAAAAAATTCGATTAAAGAAAAAAATCTAACTTTTTTAGCTTGTGTTAATCCCGGGGTACTCAAGGGTTCCATAAAAAAAATCAGCTAATTTTGTTCTACTGTTTGAACAGCTATAGCTAGCATATACATATATAAGCGAAGAGCTTTATTATATATAAAGATATTGTCATTTTCAAACAAAAAATAAAACAAAAAATTAAAACTTCAATTTGACTAAGTCGTTGAAGCTTAAAGCCCTATCCCTCTACAACATTTTTCCATTCGGGCTCAATGATAATTTGATTCATTTTATAAACTAAGCATGATTTGTTAATTTGTTGAATCCTTCCTATGTACCTTTCGTACGTACAGTAAATATATATATATGTACGTAAGGTAAATATATATATAAAATGTACGTACAGTAAATATATATATAAAATGGGAAAAGTTGTTCAACAAATTTTGACTACTGAGGATCGTCATGAGACGTGAAACATTATGTTTATTATAATTCTTTTGGAATAAAATGTGAAGTTTAAAAACTGAAATATAAAGTAATATATATGTATGTACAAATGTATCTGGTATTTTATTATTAATATTATTATGTTATTTAATATTTATTTAGTTGAGTTGAGAAGTTCTAGTATGCTGGTAGAGAGAATTGGTTTCGTTTTCTCAGGAAACAATTAAATAAGAAACCTGACTCCTAATAAACATGATTAAATTTTTAACAATTTATTTTTAAACGTTTTTTTTTAAAAAAGACAAGTTGTAGATTGTAAAAATTATAAATTTTAAAAATTATTTGATAGAATTTTAATATTTAATATTTCCCAATCGTATATGCTTTGGGATTTTCGGGGCACAGGGACAACCCCCCTGTTCTTAATCTTACCTGGATCTGCAGTTGTTGTTAACTTACTGAGGTTTTGACATAAATTCAATTTTCTTAAATTCCTATATCTTTGCAACCCATGTCGTAGCTCTTCAATTAGATTGAATAATCTAAGTTAAAAATATCAATAGTTTACAACTTCAGGTTGCAAAGATATGGGAATTAGAAAATATGAGTTTGTGTCAAAAACTTGTAATATTTAATCAACACATGATATGATTCATCTCTAATCAAAGAAATGTGGCGTAAATATTTTTTTAGTTAAGTCGTCTTCGTTTAAATCAATGCAATGAAGACGACTTTCTATTTCAATTTTAAATTCTACCAAACTTTCAAACAGCAGAAATACTTAAACATTTAAACAAAGAGAAGTTTTTATTAACAGCTTCTCTTTGTTTACTTGTAAACGTGTAAATTATTAATTGCACGCTAGGGATTAAAGCATTATTATTTTAAAAAAGTCGTCTTCATTGTATTGATATAATCGGCGACCACTGTATCTAAACTGGTACGATTCTCATGGTTAATCTATTGCTTTAAAATAAAATGAAATATAGTTTCCTCTAAAAGATTTGAAGGTTGCCCTTTTATTTTTATCTTCTAAATGTTTGAAAGTGTATTTTATTATTTGATTGTTCTATCTGATTAGCTGGGCTCACCAATGGAAGAGATCCTGACAACCTTTTTAGGAAATCATTGACCCGCACTATGACCTTTTATCAACCTAAAAATACGTTAAATGAGCATAAATGACCTCTAAAAACCTCAAAAGATTTGACCTTGTAAGACCTATAAGGACATCAAATTATCTAACAGACCTATGAACACCTCCAATATTCGCAAAATATCTCAAATAACCTTCTAAGGCCGTAAAATGACCTTAAAAACCTTAAATCACCTCAAAAGGCATGAAATGACTTCCCTAAAAGGTCTCAAGTACCCGCAGTACATGATACATTTATTCGAGGATTTTATATATAAAAATTCATTCCAAGAACACTTTTAATTAAAAAAGAATATTAAAAATAGAAAATTTTCTTTCTTAAGCTTATTTAGAATCTTAGAATAAAAATCAAAAATTTTTGAAAATCTATTCAATTTGTTATAAAATTTGAATTGTTATTCTTTTATTTTATTTATCTTTTCAAGTATGAAATCAGTTTCTAAGATACTTTCTTCCCTTGTAAATATTGTATAGTGATAATAACAATGATGAATATATAGTACACGACGGAGAAGATCGGTTTTAAACAATTTAATGAGCAATTTGGCTAGGAGACTAACACCAGCACAGGTAGTCTCAACACTCTCTACTAGAATTCACTATTTCTTGGGTCATTTAATTACATATCACTTGAGTACGCACTGAAAGTGTAGTTTAGGGTGTCAAACTTTAACAAAGTTATTTCCAGTTTGTTTGACCTGCGACAATAAATATCACTAAAGATGATTGATTGCTAACATTTTTGATACTAGAAATACTAGAAATTATACTTTTCTCTAGTTATTTATTATGAGAAAGCAGGGACTTCTATAGTAAACATCTAGGTTTAAAGAAAAACGTAAAACCAATCCTGTCTGTTACGAGATGTTTCCAGTCACATTTTAATCTCTATTTCAAAATACATCGAAAATGGCGTCAGAATACTGTAAAACCAAACCAAATGTAGAAGTACTGTAAAACCAAACCAAATGTAATGAATTTAAACTGCCTACCGCTCCACTGATTCAAACTCTTCCATAATCTTTAAATTTGAATCAGTGGTTCAAATTTAACTGGCAGATAAGCAGTTGAGCGGCCTTGCTCAAATTCAATGTTCAATGTTCCAGGACCCTTAGTTTACCGTGTGTTAACTCTACATCACCATGTTTTTTAGCAAAAAATTTTCTGTACATTATATCTATTTTCTGTACATTATATCTATTTTCTGTACATTATATCTATTTTCTGTACATTATATCTATTTTCTGTACATTATATCTATTTGATTTTTTTCTTCCAACATGTAAAACATTTCTAGATTGAAACCTTCCTCCGAGTATCAGTGCGAAGTCTGAAAGCTTCAGGATTTTCCTCAAACCGCGGATCCAGATCTGGATTTCCTTTCGCCAACCAAACCCAACCATTTTGGAACCAAACCCAACCATTTTGGAACCAAACCCAACCATTTTGGAACCAAACCCAACCATTTTGGAACCAAACCCAACCATTTTGGAACCGAACCGAACCTGAGTTTAACCAGACTAGTCCTGGTTTCATGGCTTCTCAAGCCGGAGAAAAGATTCGGCAAAAGCTGAGGTAAATACACCTCAAAGAAGTTGAGTTTTTGTCAGAACTCAAATTTTCTCATCCCTATATCTTGGCAGCCTGATAGTGTAAACCTTTGATATTTCAAACATGAGATTATTCAATCTGACATACTTCTTAGTATGAAAGATCTAAGGTCTACATCATTGGGTTGTAAAGATATAGGGATTAAAAACATCAGAGTTTGTGGCAAAGACTCAATTCCAATTAAGTAAATTTCAATAAATGATTGAAATCTTACACAGTTTCAATCAGAACTCCTCTCATTGAAGAGCTATGGAGAAGAACAAAAATGTTTCGAATTTAAAATGTGTATCCTGAGCTTTCCTTATACTTCACTTTAAACGTTGTATCATTTTAAACACCGGGTCGACTTCTAAGCTAGATCAAGCTGTACAGTACACATACATACTATCTAATGCAAAAAGGGACAGTACACTAAATTAATCAGTCCATTCTAAGAAGATTCTAGTGACTAGTAAAACAAAACTAGAGAAGTTACGATGTCACAAAGTCGTAGAAGGAATGCTGTAAACATTGACCCTGTCCATGTGTGTGACACTTAAACTCCTCTCATTGTGTTGTCTTTTTGTTTTTTTTTAAATGACTCCTGGTTACATGTTCACCTTTTTAAGTGAACAAATTTATTTAATTTTCTAAATTTCCAGGGATTTAATGAGTACAATCCATGGTGTGTATATGGCAGAAATGTGCAAAGGTAATTATATAATCTAAACTTTGCCTGGACTAAGTGTATGCCAAACACCTAGAATACGATAGTGCAATTGAGGTAAAAACATGTATTTTCTAGGTTATAATTCACAAAGTCCTCCTGAAACTGTATTATCTAGGTTCTAATTCACAAAGTCCTTCTGAAACTGTATTATCTAGGTTCTAATTCACAAAGTCCTTCTGAAACTGTATTAACTAGGTTCTAATTCACAAAGTCCTCCTGAAACTGTATTATGAACTAGGTTCTAATTTACAAAGTCCTCTGAAAATGTATTATCTAGCTTCTAACTCACAAAGTCCTCCTGAAACTGTATTATCTAGGTTCTAAATCACAAAATCCTCCTGAAACTGTATTATCTAGGTTCTAATTCACAAAGTCCTCCTAAAACTGTATTATGATCTAGGTTCTAATTAATAAAGTCCTCCTGAAACTGTATTATCTAGATTCTAAATCACAAAGTCCTCCTGAACTGTATTATCTAGGTTCTAATTCACAAAGTCCTTCTGAAACTGTATTATCTAGGTTCTAATTCACAAAGTCCTCCTGAAACTGTATTATCTAGGTTCTAATTCACAAAGTCCATATGAAACTGTATTATCTAGTTTCTGATTCACCTTCTGAAACTGTATTATCTAGGTTCTAATTCACAAAGTCCTCCTGAAACTGTGACAACTGATGACGTGAGTATCACTGTACGAAGGACAGAGATGACAGGAGGTAGAAAAAAATAAGAAAAATAAAAAATAAATTATTTTTCTCAGATAAAAATAACAAAGATTACAAATTGATATTCCAATTACGGAAAGAACAAATAAAAACAAAAATAGAAAAATAAAAAAATAAAAAATTTTTAACGTTTTTTACTCCACATACATTCCAATAACAGAAAGAAGAAATAAATACTTTTATAACATTATTACTTTAAAAATAATGTCTCTTTTACGAAGACGACAATAATTATCTTGTTTTTAAATTGCATTCTAAAACTTTTGCAAACAATCAAATATTGCGCAAAACAAACAAATAACTTAGTAAACATAGATTAAGTTTGTTAAACTATTATTTACTCAATTCAGGCCCTGATGAGATTTACCATTTCGACTCAAATGAAGATTATGGTTCAAGCAAAATAGGGAAACAAACCATAACAAATCCTACAGTCGTCCTATTTATCAATACAATAAAGACAATTTGGTTCCAATTTTTAATTTCTACCAAGCTTTCAAACAATAGAACACACGTTTAACGTGAAAACAAAAATAATCTGTCAATTAACACATTTTCTTTGTTTACTTATAAACTTATAATTTGAAAAAAGCGGGGTAGAAATGAAAATTTAAAGTAAAAACTTGTCTTAATTGTAATATTTCATAATTCTTTGTAAAATCAAGTTGACTCCTCTTCCTCCTGGAGGTTCCATTTGCAGGGTTACCCACGACGAATGAGACTGAAAAGACGACATGAAATTATGACGATCCAAAGTTAGGTCTCCTGCCTTGAATGGTCTTTACATGGCTTTTTAAGTGATTTGGCAAAGAAGGAAAGAAGGTTAAAGTTGCAGGAAGTCATGAATATAAGGAAACAGATTGCATGAATTCCGTACAGTCGTCTCTTAAGTCTCTTCCTTTGTGAATTACCCTGTAGGTCAGACCCTAATTAAAATTGTTTCTAAATTATCTCTTAGTAAAAATTTCGATTACGCTTAAAGGGGGTGTCTGGATGGACATGGTGTTTTATTGCGAGTGCAATATTGTTCAGAAACTTTTTAGATACACGCCTGTCCGCAGTCATGCCGCGCCACAACCTGCTGAGCAAGCGTTCTTTTCCACAACCTGCCTAGGGCCAAGCGCTTGGAGGATTTTAAAGATCGAATTTGCACTATTAGTTAGCAATTATACATCGTACAAACATCATATAGGTCTCAAATGATTTCTAAAAACTTTGCTACAATACTGCACTCTCAACTCAACTACAATTCTAGCCAGACACTCCCTTTAATTCTTTCAATTCAAAAGTTTTTGATGTGGTTATCGAGTTCATTCGATGTAACTGGCGATATTCCACTCAAAAGTTGTTTAGCGCTAGGACATATTGTTTTTAAAAAGTTTGATGTTTGATAGTTTGTTTTGTTTTTAGTCTTGAAGGATTCAGTTTACAGGAACTTTTCTGAATGGAATTGTGGGAAAACAAGGTTAATAGAAATTACTTGAAACCTCATCTTAAAGGGACTGCTTGCGATAAAAATAAAAGAGGTTGGATAGACGATGGTTTAACAATGATTTACACAATTTATATTTCCGTAGAGTAAAAAAAGTAGATGTTAGTTCCACATTTATTGAAAATATATTTCGGTCTGGGTTGACCCTCGTCAGTTCTAACGATATAATAACCATCAAAATCGATAAAAATTTTTTTTTAAATTTTTGTAAAAAATCACAAGAAAATAACCAAACAAAAAAGATTATTCAAAATAAAAATTTGGGCTGTCAAATGGTCATAAGGGAAACGAACTCAGATTTTGAGATGGAAAAAAGATAATTTGCAAATATTCACTTTAAAAAAAATGTTTTAGACAATTATTATTCCTTGAGATTGTTTCTGTCACAAAGATTAAAAACAAACTGTTTAGATGTATGTGTATAGTTGGGATGTGGAGACAGCTTTTTATATTTATAATTCTTTTGTAACAACTCATGTGAATGTATAACTCAAATGAATTCCTAGTTTAACCATGGCATATATATCATCCTGCTTTCTATTAGCAGAAATTATTTTTAAGGGTGGCAATGGTTATATATATACGTTCTTTTTATATTTTACAATATCTTTTTTTAAAAGGTATTGATTTTTTCATGGAGAAAAGGATTAAAAAAAATATAATTTTTAGTTGTCATTTTAAGTTCATCAAATATTTTGCTACAGTTTACCCCAGAGATATAGAGCCATCGAAAGAATTTATTAAATGTCGTCTTGACAATTTTTCGATGGTTTTTTAAAAACCATTATACGTAAATATCAGTAATTGCCAAAAATAAATAAAATAGCCATGAACTCTGTGGGAACAGTTTTAAAGAGCTCTATATAATCATTTAATTAAAAACTAAATATCTTATTTGAACTTAGCTGTAGAAAAAGATTTTAAATCTAAACACCTGATATATTCAAAATCTGACATTTCTTTAACTTAAGAGAATAAACAAGTTCTCAGAAAGAATCTGTTTGTCTCAATATATTTTCTGTTTGTTTATAATAAATGTTTTCCCTTTTCCATCTCTCTGGTTTCATGTTTGTTTATGGATAGGTTTCGTGGAAAACTTTTTTAAAATAGTTCTTTTTTATTATATTGAAACCGTTTATTATTTTCTTATTAAGAAAGAAAATTATGCTATTTTAGTAGTAGACTTAGTTGAACAATATTAAGGCGTGGTTCATTTTAGTGGTTCAACTAATTCTATGCGCAGTTTAATTACTTCTCACTTATAAATCTGGTCCATGTTTAATTTAATTCCAGGCTAATTAAAAAAAAATATAGAATCTTTGTTATATTTCATGTTGTTTTAAACCAAATAGTTTTATCTTATTAAGTTTAAAGGGTGTCTTCAAACTGCATAATTGTTCATTAGACGATGTTAAATCATAACTTGAGTATAAATGTCGTCTTTCTAATCTACAGTTTTAATGGGTCTTCTTAACGTATTATAATCCTGTTATTTAATATTTTGCAGTCCTAACGGAAACCCTCTGCCCTGTGTTGGCCTCTGCCTCGGGACCTCTGTCCTCAACGAGGATTTTGTAACCCAGACCTCCGATACATTTACAACCTCGCCACCCCAGCTGGTCAGCAGGATTCACGATGTCAGGTAGGCAAAGAAAAATGTCAAAAATCAAAAGCCTAAAGGGCACCGCGTCTGAATCATGGATGCTTCATGTTAAATAGAAGGTCACTTTAAATAAAGCTTACAGTTCCTTTAAATTAAGCTTACAGTCCCTTTAAATTAAGCTTACAGTTCCTTTAAATTAAGCTTACAGTCCCTTTGAATTAAGCTTACAGTCCCTTTGAATTAAGATTCCTACGGTACCATCATTAATTACCATTGCTAGCTTAGTGAACACTTATTTTAGAAAGTTTGCTTTGGATCAATTTAACAGGAAACTTAAACTCTAATCCCGAAATCTTTGCGTTCTAAATTTGATATTTTAGACATTGACTATTTGACATGGCAAATTTTACGACAACAGGCTGCAAAGATATGATAATGCAAAAGAGTTTCCGGACAATTGGATTCTAGTTTGCCATGGGTTTTGTAAATGCAAATTAAAAGTTAATATTTTCTAAATTGTAGATTATTGAACCCTGTTAATGGCGCTGATTTGACTGGAGAAATGCAGTTAAAGAAAGCTGTGCTTGAGGATCCTCTCTCTCTGCAGTTAGATATTGGAACAGCCAGATCCACAGAAGAATATACTTTTAAGGTAATAATATAGGTTGGAACTGACTTGATATTGGAACAGCCAGATCCACAGAAGAATATACTTTCAAGGTAATAATATAGGTTGGAACTGACTAGATATTGGAAGAGTCAGATCCACAGAAGAATATACTTTAAAGGTAATAACAGAGGTTTGAATTCACTAGATATTGGAACAGCCAGATCCACAGAAGAATATACTTTCAAGGTAATAATATAGGTTGGAGCTAACTAGATATTGGAACAGACAGATCCACAGAAGAATATACTTTTAAGGTAATAATATAGGTTGGAACTGACTAGATATTGGAACAGCCAGATCCACAGAAGAATATGCTTTTAATTGGTAATAAAAGAGGCTGCAACTTTTGGTCGGAACTATAGCTATGAACTATTTTTTCCATTTCCATTATGTTAAAGGTTTCAGAAATTTCAACCTCATCCAGAATTATCCAGGAATTCCAGTTGACGAACAAAATTTCTTAATCATTTCATTTCCAAAATGGTAATGGCGCTCAGTCCCATTGATTTAAATATTTCTTTTACCGAAGGTTTTAAGCTGTGTGACATATCTCACCACTTAAATTATACGACGGGGACCAACTGAGCAGATTCACCTTTAAGAAGAAGTTTACATTAACCCTATCTCTGCTGGGGTACTTGAAAACCAGAGGATACATTATTGAAAACCAGTGGCCGAATTTAAAGAATTTGAGCGGCGGTTTAAATTTAAGCCGCGGCTTATATATGGTTGGTTCCACTTAAAATTGTATCAAATGTTTCCAAGATTTAAGCCGGTGCTTAATTTAAACCGGGTTTTGGCAGATTTAAACCGCGGCTCAAATTCTTTAAATTCCATTTCAGGATACATTATTGAAAATTCCTGACCAATGACCATGCCAGTTCAAATATGCAAACATTTTTGCAAAATTTGAAATAACCAGATGTGTAATTAAGAAAAAGTAGAAATGTGCAAATTTCTTGTTACGGGTGTTGTGTGCAAATAATTTGCTAAAACTTTTTTGAAAAAACTTGTACAATTGTCAGATTTTGATTGTACTTGTACAATCAAAATCTGACAACTGAAAATGGGTGAAAACAAAGATTTAGTTTGTTACATGACAAACTAGTCATTCAGGCCGTGTGCCTGAGGACTTAGTCAGTTAGTATAAAAGTCCGGTTTTAGACCTAAAGGGAGGGCTATGGGTATTTAGGAAAAATTTTAACAGCCTCAGAGCAATACCTTCTGAGCTATGTAAAAAAACTACAGGTTCAAATTCAGCAGGAATGGGGTTAAGAGAATATATACTTTCGATCTCTTTTGATCTATAAATAGAATGAGCACCTAAAATTTCAAGTGACCCTTCATTTGAAGAGTAAACACATGATTGACGGATACCTCTATTTACACATTTGTTTGGGAAAAATACTAAAGAAAGCATTTTAAGGTTTTGCAACAATGAAGGTTATTGGGAAAATCAAAATGTTGGTAATAGAGAAAAACCAACAAAATTGTCATTACTTTTAATTCGATACAAGGCTAAAGAGTAAAGAATGTAAAGCTTAAAATTAAAAAGTTTCTTCAATTTAGGAGACAGTCAGCATAATAAGATAAAAAATGATAAAATCATATTATTTATTTATTTAAGTGTGGTATATTCCTGGATGAAAGATGGACAGACGCGTACTGTAATACCAAAGGTAAAATAATTAACAAATTTAAATATTAATATTTTTAAATCCACTGTCAAAAAAGTGATATTTTGAAAATGACCAAAAACTTAATTTTATTATAAAAACAAATGCTATATAGTGCTCTAAAATATAATACATAATAGATGGTGAACTGATAATGTAGACTACATTCATATTTGTGCATAAATAGATACAAAATAGCCATATTGGAAATATATTTTATCTCTATAAAGGCAGGAAATAGAATGTCATGCTGTTCCATTAAGGTTTCCGAAAGGTATAGGTTTAGAGTTTAAGTTTAAAATTTAGGTTTAGAAATTAGGTTTAGAGTTTAGGTTAACAGTACAGTACAGTACAGTACAGTATAGTACAGTACAGTACAGTACAGTACAGTACAGTACATTACATTACATTACATTACAGTACATTACAGTACATTACCTTACATTACATTACATTACATTACATTACATTACATTACTTTACAGTACAGTACAGTAAAGTACAATGCAATACAGTACAGTACAGTGCAGTACAGTGTTGTAAAAGTAAAATATTGTACAGCGCAGAAATATGCTTCAATAACAGATAAATTCAAATATAAAAAAATATATAATAAAATAACTTGGTGCAGAACATAATAGTAAAGTGTACACATTACGAAGTGCAATAATGAACGTACAGTACAGTGCAGTAAAGTAAAGTACAGTACGATACAGAGCAGTATTATATTTCAACAAGCTTGGGAACCCAGCTCTGCCTTGAAACTTAATTTAGAATCTTTAAAACAAAGCTAGAACATTTCCAAAATTTGAGGCAAATCGGTACTTTTCATATATGTACATATATATATATATATAGAAAACAAATATATATATTTAATAGATATAACAACGTTTGACGATGGGACAGCTCTGGTGAATTGTGACTGTAGTTTACCAGGATATATATCTGTATACCTGGTCCAGAAAACAACAAACAAACCTCTTCTACAAGTGCCGGAAACCTATGCATTCAACAAACTTATTCAATTCAAGTAAATATAGTGAGACTATGGTTTCCAGCGAACAAAAACTTTGCGGAACAAAAAATGCAAAATTTCTCAATAAAATTAATTATATTTTTTTAGCCGAAAATTTCGAACTTTTTAACGAACTGAATGCGAAAAAATGCGAAATTTTCGCGAAATGATTTCCCTTTTTCGGTGGAAACCCTAATTGAGACCCATGATGAGAGTAGGAAGAACCATGTTATAAACATGTAGTCTATTTACTCCAAAGTTAAATTAATCTCGCTTAGATCCATAATTTTATTTCGTATTTTTCTTAAAACATGATTTTTTTTCATAAAGTATACAAAAACATAATCTGGTACAATGATAACTAGAAAACTCTAGAATAGGAAGTCGAATTTTAACTCAAGTTTTGACTTTAAATGGAAATAAGACACAGGAATTGCTCAATGTAAACAGACCCATTTAACTAAATATGTGATTTAATTTACTTTTTATAACATTAATTATGCACTTCAGAGTTGCTTTAATGTCGTCTTCCTATTCTACAGTTTTCTGGTTATCAACGGTAGTATACACTTTACAGTGATATAAATAATCTGTTGACAATTAAAAGAAGAATCTATATCGTCGTAGATCTACCATGCAGGGTTACCCATAAAGGATGAGACTGTAAAGACGACCGGAAACTCTCAAAATATGACGATTTATAGGTTAAATTAAATCCTCTGCCTTGAATATAGGCTTTCGAGGACTTATAAAATGATTTGGTAACAAGCAAAACCTATTTACAGTTGCAGGGAATTATGTATATAAGGATACAGTGTAAATTCATTTTATTCATTTTTTTCATTACTGCAACATTAAATACACATAAGGTTGTGCAGTCTTTTTATTCCACAGTTCTATGGTTTTCACTAAGATACAATAATTTTTATAATTAATAATTTTTTATCTTAAAATTTTCAAAAGTAAAATAACTAGATTTTATATTTTTTCATAACTTTACAATTTATAATTTTATAACTTTATAAAAACTTTTACATTGTACATGGTAAAACTTTTACATTGTACATGGTAAAACTTTTACATTGTACATGGTAAAACTTAGGTATCAAGATTTTTCAGTTTTCATTGGCAGATTTTCAAATTTTAAAACTTTAACTAGGCGCCTTTGCAAAACTTTTACGAAGTCGTGACTCATGAGCAGACATACAAAAAATTTACCTTTTTTTCAATTCGTTTAAGTTTCTTAATCATGAAGGAAATTTACTCTTTCAGGTTGCAAAGATGAAAAACATCTGTTTCGAATACGAAATTTATTTTTAAAATGCAAACTTTTTTAAATAAAACGAACTTTTTAAATCAGAAGTTTTGTTTTGACTGGTGGAAATACATTGGACTGGATTAATTTCGTAATAGTTAGTTCACGAACAGACAGATCCGTGCATACTCCTTCGTTTCAGTTCGGTTAAACACTTTGAAATATATGGTTTTTATTTCCGTTGACGGAACTTCCGGTGTTCCTTAAATAAGGTTAGAATGAAAAAGAATTATCCACGAAGGATGAGACAATTTATTAAAAACTTGAAACTCTTTTCATTCTGTAGTCTGGAGAAACGAGTTATAAGAGCTTCAAGGAAGTATAAATGTAAGAATAAGGACTGAATAAATTCCCTACAGTCGTCTCTAAAGCCTCATTCTTTGTGTGTAACCCTATATCGAAATGTTCCTTAATTTTTCTTTCCTTTTTTGAAAATATGCATTTTTAAAGGGAGTGATCGGCTATGGAAGGTAATTGAACTGAGTATGCAGTGTTGTCGAAAACTTCTTTAGGATTCATTTGAGACATATTTCACTTTTTAAAGATCTGTAAATTCTGAGTTTGAGCGCAAATTCGACGTTCAAAACTCCTGATTTGGGGGTGGAAACGCTTTCAGAATTAGTTTTTTTTAAATATTAAATAACGACAACGAAAAATAAAGTAAAAATTATACAGTAATCTAATTAGATGGCTAGGAACATATTTCACAAAAGAAATTTGTCAATAAATCAATGCTAAAATCGATTATTTCGTTTTCATTATTATATTGAATTTCTAATTTTCTTTGAATTTATTCGCAGATTTCTTCAAATTCTTTAAATGTCGTCTTTTCAATAATAGTTATAGAAAATCTGCGAACATCTTTGTGAATAACGAGAAACTAGAATAATGAGATAATAGAAACTAATAATTGAACAAGATTACTTATTTTTGATGATAAGATTAATTTTTATTTTCTCAAAATGTTCCTAAACATGACGTCTGTAGTTTATTGTAGAATATTTTTACATTTTATGTCGTCGTTAATTAATAATTAAAAAAAAAACTAATTCTGAAAGCGTACCCACCCCCAAATCAGGAGTTTTGAACGTCGAATTTGAGCTCAAACTCAGGATTTACAGACTTTTAAAAAGTGAAATATGTCTCAAATGAATCCTAAAGAAGTTTTCCACAACACTGCATACTCAGTTCAACTACCTTACATAGCCGGTCACTCCCTTTAATGGTTAAAATAACTTCCGTGGTTTTCCGTTCGATGACAGAATTTTGGTTCAATTTTAAAATCTACCGTTCTTTTTTCGGAATCCAAAATATGATTGATTATGTGTTTGTTTAGGATTGAGGAGAACTACAATAACAAGGTTGGAACCAGGAAACCCGAGTTTATTGAGAACCTGAGAACCCAGCTAGCCTACAGGATTGGAACCAGTCAAGCTAATATCAAGAATTTGAATATTTGGCCGGGTAGTATTGAGGTAAAGAATATTCTATTCCCCCCCCCCCCTCCTTCAACAATTTGTAGATGCCTTTGAGGACCCATAAACTGAAGACGACTATTAAAAACCAAAGTTATGAATTTTATACATAGATAAATAAATAAACATAGATAGCTTATGTACGCAAAATCACCAAGAATTGTACAGTCCGCGAACTCATACTTCTAGGGGTTAGAGCGTAATTCAACGATAAGCGGGGTGGTTTGGTGTTTTAATGGATTTCATAGAATAAGTGTAAAATAACTCCGGGAATGGAACTATTTGAACAACAATATTTCACTGAAGAATAACATGAGAAGGACTATACTAACTTAAATTTCTCTCTACAGAACTCATGTTCACCACAAGTACTCAATGAAATAAGAACAGCCCAAATAGATTATCAAGTACAATAGGCGGCAACAGAGAAATGGATCAATTTTACACGACGTCACAAGTGTCAAATTTTCCAAGATTAGATAAAAAAGCGTAAAAACAGAAAAAAAGAACACATAAAATTGTACTTATTTTACTGTAAAATAAGTACTTTATTCTAAAATTATCACTATTATTAATAATTTTGTCGGGCACTCAAACTGAGTTGACACTTGTGACGTCAGAATACAGCTGTACTGAGAGTGTACAAATTCTACGTTGCCATCTATTGTACTAGAATCTATTCGGACCAGCCAATGATCACAACCGATCTAGTTAATCTATATAATAGAAATATCTTTAAAACATCTCTGTACATTTTTATCTTTCAATAAAAAATGTCGTCTTATGCGCAATCTATCTTTATCTATGATTTTATAAAGGTCAATGTATTCGCTTATTAAGTTTATTGAAAAGCTAATGGTAAAATTGTTGCTTAAAAACAACATGAAATGCATAAAAAGTTGCTTCAATACCCTCTCCCAAAGTCTTTAGATCCCAGTGATAGTATTTGAATACTATTGTATTATAAAAATTCAAACTTTCCAACCTCATTCTAAATTGTATCAGCTCTAAGAATTTAATGTGTAGTAAAAGTGAATTGTAAATAAGAGTCAGAAATGTGAAGTGCCCGCCTAATGTATTGTTATATAATATAAATTAACAAAAGAAATGATTAGTTAAAGGGATGATGATCACTAATATTCTTACTTCTTTCACAACTCATATCGAAGAACGTAGAACCCATACAAATTCAGATAAATTCCACTAGGATTGTAAATAAATCAACTCAATTCCAAACAAATCATTCAGATATTACAACCGATAATCATCGAACTTTATTCGACGTATTTGTTTATTGTGAATATTTCATTATATTTTTTATTTGTTTCATACTTTAAAGGACGATATATGGTCGCTATAGGGATCTATGCTCTCGACGCTTCTGGGTTCCAAAAGACTCCAACGACACCTAGTGACAAAAAAACGTCGTTAAAAGTACAATATATATGAAACAAGTAAAAAATATTGTGAAATATCAGCTTTATACAAATCGAATAAAATTCGATCATTATAGGTTGTAATATCTGAATGGTTTGTTTGGAATTAAATTGATTTATTTACGATCAGAGTTTTGAGTCATTTTTACAATCGCATCTTTCGTGGGTAACCCTGTATGATTCTTTATTGCAAATAAGAAAATGAATTCTGCCTCTAGGTATCGTTTAACCTGATAGCTCCTACAGCTCTAGAGGCTGGTCAGCAGGAGCAGGCCTATCAGTCCTTCTCACAGCTCCTCGCGGACGGAAAGCTCTCCATCAATGATCTGGCTGGGAATCCTATGTACGTTCCTCCACAGGGTGCAGTGCAAGCTATAGGTAATATTGAGTACACATGTACAACTGCGCAGTACACGCAATAGGTAATATTATGTACACCTGTACAACTGCGCATTACAAGCTATCTAAGTAGTATTAGGTACACCTTGACAGTTGTCCAATACAAGCTATATGTAATATTGAGTACACATGTACAACTGCGCAGTACACGCTATAAGTAATATTATGTACACCTGTACAACTGCGCATTACAAGCTATCTAAGTAGTATTAGGTACACCTAGACAGTTGTGCAGTAAAAGCTATAGGTAATATTATGTACACCCGGACAACTAAGCATTACAATACAAGCTATGCATATGTACACATTTTCAACTGTGCCAGTACAAGCTATAGATCATACTTCATACACCTGTACAACTGTGCAGTACAAGCTATTGGTAATATTATTTACATCTTTACAACTGTGCAGTACAATCTATAGGTTATATTATGTACACCTGGACAATCTGTGCAGTACACGCTATAGGTAATATTATGTACACCTGTACAATCTGTGCAGTACACGCTACGGAAGGCTTTAGATGGAGAACAATTAAAAATTACAACAAGAGTTCTTTTAAAAACAACTTTCTTTTAATCATCATAAAAGATTTTGTAGTTTTGTATAAGAAAATGTTTTTGGAGTAGTAGTGTAGAGATATATATTATCATTTTTTCAGGAGATGATGTAATCCCTATTGTGATCGCAGCAGTCGCTATGGCGATCGTCTTGTTCATTCTTGTTTTCATCATCTGCGCTGTCTGCATGAAGAAGAAAAAAACTGAGGAGAAGATGAAGCCATTCACGGTGATTATTGTTATTATATTATTATTATCATTAACATTGTTATTAATATCATCATTATTATTATTATTATTATTATTATTATTATTATTATTATTATTATTATCATTAACCCCAAGTCAGCAACCAACTTACAGATCATTCCAGTTTGCTGATAACCTTGAAGGAACAGGGACTAGGTAAACATTATTTAAATTCATTTATTTCTGTATTTTACTCAGTTTTACCTCCAGTTTTATACAAGGTGTTCCAATAAACATGATAATTAAGTGAAGAATGCGAAAGACTATTATGTAAATAAGCATTCCATACTTAATCAAAAACTTATTTACATTTAGATCATATGTTTATTGGGACAAAAAGTTGGAAAAGTGAATCTAAGAACCCTCCCCCCCCCAGATTACTGAACTTCTGGACATTTATGTAACGTACTGCATAACCTCTACTGTCCAATCAATTGTCCCTAACCAAATACTGCCACCTACCGGCCAATCTGAGGGCTTATCTTTAACTAAATAACCATATTAAACTTTCAAGACAATCATTTACACAAGGTTGTTGTTGTTTAGAAACCGTAAGTTGACCGGAGATATCCCTGACTATATGCCGAGTAATTTCAACTCGAGAAATCAGACTGCAGCTAGTATTCAGCTTACGGAGGAGGTACTGATTTCTTGTTAAAATTAATATGATAAAATTAAATCAAAAAGTTTAAAAATTCGAAACAAAAATGCATCGAATAGGTCACAATGAAATTAATTTAAAGTTTCTTTTTAAATTAAAAATTATTGTAACATTAAATAGAAATTCGGTCACCACAGTGAAAAGGAAATGAAAGACGAACTTTATTAAATGTAAAGCATAATTTTCATTTTTCAGGTCACTATATATGTTCTAATTTTCTATCTATGTTTTTTTTCAATTTCATTTCGGGGACTGCACCGAATAACCTCGGAATGATAAATAAATATAAGAATATGGCAAAATTAACATTATTTTTACGCCACGATATTTAGGATAAATCAGTAAAAAGACCTGATGGTTCCATGGTATCTTTCAAATCTAGAGTAATTATTTAATCTTAAAGGGACTGTACGTGTAATTTCAACTGACCTGTAATTTTATAGAGAGGCATGTCCTATTCACAACAGTAATCTTTAAAGCTTTGTCCGGACCAAGGTTATAATGAAAGGGAAGTTATTTCAGAGGTGTACGCATCTTTTGAACTGCAGTGTACTGTCTCTGGGCGGTAATATAAACACAAGACTAATTTTGAAGCCTGACATGGGATCCATCTTTCACATAAAAAATCAATGAAATTTTTTGGCCATAGGAAACTATTATGTGAATTATGAAAATTATCAAAATCTAATGCTCTCATAGCCTCCTCGGATACTGAACACACACTGTTACATCTATTCTTGTTTACAAATTTCGCCCAGAGAGAACTAGTTTCAATATGTACGCAGAGTATACGCAACTGCAATTAACTTTCCTTGCATTATAACCTTGGTCTGGACAACGATTCCCTTATTTGTTTAGCTGAAGATTTTAAGGGTATCGTTGTAAATCCGACATGCCACTTTTTAAATGGAAGGTGACATGAAATTACGCTCACAGTCCCTTTATATATGCACATTTTTATTTATTTCGCAGAACAAATCATGCTTAACCCTTTTATAGTGATAAAAACAACTTTATTTGGAATTAATGAGTCTAGAGTCTAAACCCTTCATAATTACTTTTATGTGCGTATTATAAAGTACAACATAGGCCTACAAGGCGGTTCTATTCATGATTTAGAATTCTCATTGCTAATCTAGCTGCACGGGAAGCCCTTTTCTTCATAAATTTTGAATCAACAATAAAAAATGTTGCGGATTTTCCATGCAGTGTTCATTGGTGGATTTCAAAAATTCTAATTCAATCGAAAAATTTTAAATTTTTTTTAAAAAATTTCGATACGCTATAAACCTTACCTGGATCATTTTTATACTTCCAGATTGATCTAGCTGTTTTGGTGGTATTGGGTCATTTCATAGAAAGACATTTGATAGATGAACATTTTATAAATAACAAAATCATTGATAGGACATTTCATAGACAAGACAGTTCATAGATAGGACATTTCATAAACAGGACATTGAGACAATATTTAAGGTTTTGGGTATGTAAAAAAAGTGTCACAATTTTAGAAAATGTATTCATTTTGATAGTCAATCTATGACATGTCCTATCTTTGAATTGTCCTGTCTATGAAATGCCCTACTTTAAAATGACCTGTCTATTAAATGTCCTTTCTATGACGTGTCCTATTTATAAAATGTCCTATCTATGAAATGTACTCTTCATAAATGTCCTATTTATAAAATGGCTAATGGTCCTGTCTCTATGAAATATTCTATCATAAAATGTCCTGTCTATAAAATGTCTTCTATGAAATGTCTTTCCATGAAATGACTCAACACCGTTTTGGCGTTTATTGAAAAAAAAGATAGGACAAATAAATGTGTAGATGTTCTTTGAAATAATTTACATTGTCAAATTGTTTGAAGTAAATAAGTTTCTTAAATATTGGGTTACGCTTTGCAAGAAAAGACCTTTTCAGATTTCCGAACGAAATCTGGGATTTTGTGTTGACTGAAAGGAGTCCTCAAATGGAATTTAATAAAACCCTTTGTTGTGCAAAAATTACTTTAAAAAAAAAATTTCCTAACCCACTTTTCACGCTCTTTCTGAGTCAGCTTTCTGCTAATAGTTAAACATATTTGAACGCAAGAATTGTATTTTATTTTATTTTATTTTATATGAATATAATGTAATATTATATTATTATAGTATCAATAAATAATTATTTGATTTTATGGTTGGTGTATAGATTTTCCTAGATTTTCATTTGGATTTAATTCTTGTTTTTTCATAATTTTCAATTGTGGGTTCTCCATAAAAGTTGCGGATTTATGCGACAATAAAAAAAGAAGAAAATTGACAGAATTCAACACCCTTTTAGATAGAAAATCGACAATGTTGAAATGTTGAAAGAGTGTGGGTGGGATGCGGGCATGAGAAGTCAAATGACAGTTTCTTTAAGCTTTCTTTTTATGAAATTAAAATAAAGTTAAGATTATCTTTTATCTAGGATTCGTGGGGTGTACCTTATGCAGCAAACTATACTGAACCATCTCACGAAGAAATATCGAGATCTCAGCAGATTCCGGATCATATTGTAAGTACAACAAACCAGTACAGAATAATGTTTTAAGTACAACAAACTAGCACGTGATCGTATTGTAAGTACAACAAACTAGCACATGATCATATTGTAAGTACAACAAACTAGTACAGAATAATGTTTTAAGTACAACAAACTAGTACAGAATAATGTTTAAGCACAACAAACTAGTACATGATCGTATTGTAAGTACAACAAACTAGTACAGAATAATGTTTTAAGTACAACAATTTATCACATGATCGTATTGAAAGTACAACAAAATAGTACATGATCATATTGTAAGTACAACAAACTAGTACAGAATAATGTTTTAAGCACAACAAACTAGTACATGATCGTATTGTAAGTACAACAAACTAGTACATGATCGTATTGTAAGTACAACAAACTAGTACAGAATAATTTTTAAGTATAACAAACTAGTACATGATTGTATTGTAAGTACAACAAACTAGTACAGAATAATGTTTTAAGTACAACAAACTAGCACATGATCGTATTGTAAGTACAACAAACTAGTACAGAATAATGTTTTAAGTACAACAAACTAGCACATGATCGTATTGTAAGTACAACAAACTAGCACATGATCGTATTGAAAGTACAACAAACAGGTACATGATCATATTGTAAGTACAAAAAACTAGTACATGATCATATTGTAAGTACAAAAAAACTAGTGCATGATCATATTGTAAGTACAAAAAACTAGTACAGAATAATGTTTTAAGTACAACAAACTAGTACATGATCATATTGTTAGGTCAACAAACTTGTATAGGATCATATTGTAAGTACAACAACCTAGTACATGATCATATTGTTAGGACAACAAACTTGTACAGGATCATATTGTAAGTATAACAAACTAGTACATGATCATATTGTTAGGTCAACAAACTTGTACATAATCATATTGTAAGTAAAACAACTAATACATGATCATATTTAAGTACAACAAACTCATAATTTCATAAATGATCATATTGCACATAACAAATGTTAGAAACATGAATGTAAAAAAAACTAAATATGGTCAAACTGAAATTGAAATATTTGGAATTTAATAGGTTTAAATAAAAAAGGCGTTCGACTGTTTTAATTTGTTTTACCGACCTTGGAACCTAAACACCATCTCTATATAATAAAGCTCTCCGCTTGTATATAATTGTATGTATACATGCTTTCTTTAGCTGGCCAAACGCCAGGACCAAATGGGCTGAATTTTTTTGAGGGAACCCTTGTGTACCCCGGGGGGATAGGCTAAAAAAGATTTTTTTTTCAAAAATCTAAATTTTTGTTTCAAAGTTTGATTTTAAATAATTCCACGGGCAAAACTGAAATAAACTTGAGGAGTAGAACTATATATTTACTGTACTCTCTAGAATTCTTAATTTCATCCCGAAAACTGATTTTAAAATGATTATCTAATATTAAAATGAAAAAAATAATGGGAAAAAAGATCAATGAAACATGTTTCTTTAATACTAGTTTGTTGATTAATATATATTAGTAAGAATTTATTTTAATACAATTTTTAGACTAAAATAGTTTTATAAATAAACATTCTAGATTAACAATATCCACACAAAACTTCCGATTTTAGTTTCTTTAATCAATATCCAATCTAGCTTTTGCAGCGAACGCAACGTTTCGCGAAAATGAATAAAGCGAAAAATGCGGTTTTCGCGAAAAAAAAAATTTCGAGAATTTTTTTTTCTCGTGAAATTTCGCTTTTTCAAGTGTTGAAGCTGTATTTTGTTTTTTTGCTGAATTTTCGAAAGAATTTTGCATTTTTTTAAAATTCCGAATTTTATCACAAAACAGATTGAAGCGAAATTTCTCGGAAAAAGCGAAAATTTTAGCATTTTTCGCGAGCGAACGAGATGCGAAAAAAATTCAAAAATTTTTCCTTTTCGCCGCAATCCCTAATCCAAATCCGTTTCGGTCTTAATTTCAACAAGCTTTTAACTTACTGAGTAGTCTCTTGCTAATTTTTCATTTAAAACGCATTAACCGACAATTACGTTTAAAAGAGAAAAAAACGATAAATGATCAAATTGGAAAATGACAGCTTGCTGGGACAAGAACCTGTTAGTTAAAACAGTGTGAAATAATAACAAAATTAATATGATTTCTTTAGAAAAGAATGTATATGCAAAACTTAACCCTATCAATAACGGGAAGAATGATCCATCATTTGAGTTTAAGGCATCCAAAGCACCCAAAAGGACAATCATATTGCTTCCAATGATAGAAGTAGGTTTGACACTTATCAACCGTAAATATCCCTCTCTTACTATTATCAAGTTATTTTTTAGAGAGCTCTCTCATTCTTAGATATAAACCTCTTTGTATTAACCCTTCCCTAAATCTCAACTTGGAGGTGTGTACAAATGTCAAATTACAGGGTGAGGTAAAAGAGTTTAATTTTTTAAGGTTGTGTCCAGGGGGGGGACTGATTATAGGTTAAATCTGCATAAACATTAAAAAAAAATTATTCTAGATTAAACATTGCTAATATACGAAGGGTTTTCACATTTTAACTAATTATCATTTTACATTTGTCAGAGGATGACAATTTTATTCAGACACAACACAAAAACAATTGAATTAAGCTCGATCTAAGTGTTTGATTTAAATTTAAAGAATTTTATAATTTTATAATTTTTTCCTTATACGCTGGGCAAGGGCGTATATACAGAACTGTAAATTTGGCTTCTTGGATATAAGGGGGCACAAGTATAAGAAACTATAAAGGTTCAAATACAGTCCAATTATCCAATTATTAAAAAATCGACATTTTATAACATTTTTATGTTAGCACTAATTAGTATTTAAACTAGAAGTAGTAAAACACATTTTTGAAAATGAAAAACTCAACTTAAATACTTAATCTTAAACCTAAATAATTGTAATCGATACAATAAAGCTCTTCGTTCATCATTTATATGTTTGCTATGGCTGGCCAAACGACTGAATCAAATGGGCTTAATTTTTGTGAAGAAACTCCAGGGTTCCCTTGGAGATGACAAAAGCTAAATAAATTATAATTTTTTGTTTTAATTCGATTTTTTAAATTCCACAGACAACGCCTGACACTTCAGCTAGTTTGTAATAAAAAGAAAGATTACAAAACGGCGGTGCAATGAATAAAGTAAATTAAATTCAAATTAAAAAAACAAAACAAAAATGGTCTTTTACTACCTCCAGTCCAAACTCAAGCCTTTGTGGCTTGGCATCTGAAAATAATTGTTTTACTTCGCTATCCCTGATAGCGCCCATCCAATTAGGATGAATGTGCATTCTAGATAGATTTTTCATTCGAACTTCTGTCATGGTGCTGAACCATTCAATCTTCTTAGTGCACGGAATGAACACCAAACTAATTCTTTTATGTTCTTCACTCTTCAGTTTAAGATTTGGGTGGGGCACTGCCCCCTTGCCCCCCCCCCTCTGTTTATGCCCTTGACGCTGGGATATATGAAGTTGAGTATTTAGTGATCTCTCACCCTTTGTATTAAAAAATAAGGAATCTTTTATTAATTATACCCCTCCACCCACCAATCATTGATCCAATTGCCTACAAAAATAGTTTTTTCCACAGATTTAAGAAGATGGGATGACAAAAAACATTGTGCACTGTTGCAACAATCACATTGACCCTTCTGTAGGAAACAGCTAGCATTTCTTTAAAATATGTTAACAATTGAAAAGGGACATTTTTAAAGAAATATAAAAAAGACATTTTTGTAAATTGTGATGGTTATTAATTTTTAATGTGAGACAACAGAAATATATTTATGTGCTTTACTCTTTACTACAGATCTTGGAAGCTAAAAAATCTTAAATTGCACAAACCAAATAGCTGTACAAATGTTAATCTACAAATGTCCATCCATGAAATGTCTATCTTTGAAATGTACTCTCTCTAGATATGTTCTATTAAATAAATGTCCTATCAATAAATGTCCAATATATGAAATGTAATATCTTTTAAATTTCTTATCTATAAAATGTCCTATCTATGAAATGTCCTTTCTATTACGTGTCCTATTTATAAAATGTCTTAACTATAAAATATACTCTCTATGAAATGTCCCATCATTGAAATGTACTTTACCTAAATTGTCCTTTCCATGACGTGTCCTATTTATAAAATGGCTTTTGAAATGTCCTGTATCTATGAAATATACTTTCTATAAAATGTCCTGTCTATGAAATGTACTCTTTATAAATTGTCCTTTCTATTCCGTGTCCTATTAATAAAATGTCTTATCTATGAAATGTCCTCTATATAGAAATGTCCTATTTATAAAGTTTATATCTATAAAATGCTCTTTCTATAAAATTCCTGTCTATGAAATATCCTATCAATGAAATATCCTTTCTATAAAAACTCCTCACTACAAAATTTCTTATAAGTGAAATGTTTTATACGTGAAATGCTCATTCATGAAATGCCTTTCTTTGAAATGTCCTATCTATTACTCTGTATGAAATGTCTTATCTATCAAATGTCCATACATGAAATATCTTTCCATAAAATGTCTAAAACTGGAATAGAGAATTTGAGTATCTCAATTCAGTTTTCGTATTCCAATACCATACAATACACATGATTTCCAAATGTTGGATATAGGATAAAAATATTAAAAAGTTTATGAAAACTTTAAACAGTTTTGAAATCTGGGAAGGTTTATTAAAAGTTTTCATAAACGATCCAAAACGATCCAAAACGATCCAAAACGATCTTAACGATCCAAAACGATCCATATCGATCCAAAACGATCCAAGACGATAAACAACACTAGCTGAAGTATAACAGCCTGATGTTCAATTAAAATACTTGACTTTTTAAGCCCCAAAAAGAGAAAAAACAAAAAACGATGACAAGTCTTACAAAATTCCAATGACGTTAATCCTATCCCGGTCAGGGGGGCCTTCTTTACTTAAAAATGAAGTGCCCGTATTAAAAAAATTATTTTGAAAGAAAAAAATCAGTTTTTTGCCGATGTTCTCCCCAGGTTACCGAAGAGTTCCTTAACCAAATTCAGACAAGTTCAGCTGATTGGGCAGCTATAGCTAACATAAATACAAATATGATATGGACATACATGCTCTGAAATATCAACTTTATACGCATGGATCGAGTTGAATTCGACAGTGGTAGGTTGTAATTTAAGAGTTGAAATTTAATTTAATTATTCACGTTCTGAGTTGAATAATGCAACTCCATGAATTTGTACGGACGCTACGCTTTTAGGTGTAAAACGTTTATAACCATTTTCTCCTTAAAGACGCAACAGATAAATGTAAAATTAGAAGCGATCGATATCGAATTCAATGCAATCAGCCTTTACCCCCTTTTATTTTTCCCGAACACTCCCCTTAAACGTGATTCAGGAGATCAGATGATTAAAACACAAAGGGGTTCAAAGAGAAAGTCTAACTGTTAACATATCAATGTTTTGTAACGGAGTTCAAAGTACCATTTTTTACCAAACAGAAAACGGATTGTTGCTTTGTGAAGGAACGCGTAGAAAGGAACGTGAAGAAAAGAACGTGCAGGGGATATTAGTCTAACTGTTTCCATATCCATACACGTGTATGTATACAAAACCCTAATTTTTACCAAACAGAATAAAGATTATTGCTATGTGCAAAATGTGCATCATTGAGCATTTTGATTAAATCACGTCCCACCAGAGTACATTTGAATATCCAAGCTGGGTCAACCTTTGCAGTTCTACTTTAGACTGTACCGCCAATTTACAATTACTAAACCGGCAGAGGAGTGTGAAATGGGTAAATTTCGAATCCAATCTTGAAATTCAAATGCAAGGATATTAGACAAGAACATATTGAAATTCAGAATAATTAAGACATAAATACATTTTATTTTTCTTAAATGTAATCTAATCCTTAGGATTGCAAGACAACTTACAAATAATACATTTAAGAAGAGTTCTTGCAAAAAATGTATTTTTTGAAAATATTTCATAGTAATGTTGGCAAACCTTTAAAATGTGTTTCCTTTTGTCAAAACTGAAAACTATCCTAATACTGATACTTTTGGAAAAATCCTTGTGATTTGATACATAATTGATAGTTATGTGATTTGATACATAATTGATAGTTATGTGATTTGATACATAATTAATAGTTATGTGATTTGATACATAATTGATAGTTATGTGATTTGATACATAATTGATAGTTATGTGATTTGATACAAAATTAATAGTTATGTGATTTGATACATAATTGATAGTTATGTGATTTGATACATAATTGATAGTTATGTGAATAACGAACTTCTCACAAAAGTAAAATATAGAATTTTTATGAAGTAATTTTACTTTATTTATTTAATAAAAAATTGTGTATTTAACTTTAAAGAGATATTTTTATATTAATATAATTTGTCAACAATTTTTTAGAATTTATTGTATCGTAGTAATATATTTTTATGTTTGGTTTTTCTTTCGTGTCTGAAACCAAAAACGTCTGAACCGATCGGAACTCTCATGACTCTAGGAAAATGATATGACTGGTCCTAAGGCGCTCAGAGTCATTATTTAGTATTCGCTACGTCTTTAGGCTGGCCGAAGTTCAAAAATGTTGCCCGGAAAAAAAAGCCGACATTTATTATTTTTGAAAATTCTTTAATTAATGTCTTTTTTATTACCATGTTTATTGGGACAGACGATATACTTAAATTCTAAGCAATTAGTCTTTGCTTAGGCTTCATAAAATTCAAAACATCAAGTTTAGATTTAGAATTTTTTTATTCGATTGTTTACTACTAAACTACAAGCAGGAACTTGCCACATGCTGGCGCTGCATTAAAACGATTGTTCAGAAAATTAAAAAGATAAAAGTTATAAAAATGGGCTTGGGCTATAGATATACTCGGTGTTGTAACTTATCTTTTATCATACCATATTTTTTGTAATATCCCAATTAGTGAACAGTCCTTTCCGACCAGGCTGGCAACTAGACATTTTGTTATGGGGGGGGGGTATGATCGAAAAATTTTGCCCCCCCCTTAACATTTTTATGGGGGGGGGGGCGGGCAAGAAAAATGTTTATTATACTCACACAATAAAAAACTAACCTTACCAACCGGATATTCAGTATGACCCCAAGTGATATGAAATTTAAAAAAAATCTATCAAACAATTTTTTTTTAGTTACAGGAAAATGCCTTAAAAAGAAGGGGTGGGGGAGGGGGCGAGGGTGTATTCTATGCTGTCCCATATAAATGCCTCATAATTTACAGTTGCAATCTATTTATAAATTTGTCTTGTCTGTCTGTTTGTCTGTTTGTTTGTTTGTTTGTTTGTTTGTATCCAATAAACGCCAAAACGGCTGAACCGATCGGGCCCAAATTTTTTGTGAGACCTCACGGAGCCCCAGAGCTAGAAGGTTTATGAATGATCAAAATTTCAAATATTTGTCTCCATCAAAATTCGATCTTTATTAAATTTTTGAAAATTTTGAAAATCCACGAAATTTTTTGTGAAAATCCGCGAATTATTTTTGTTTTGTTTTACGATGTACACAAAGAAAACATGTTCACAATTAATTTAGAAGATGGGCGCGAAGCGCCCTCTAAGGCTAGTAACCTTCATTTACGTTTACATTACGAATGCAGAATGAAAGATATTGGTTGTATAAGCTGTTGCTTCATCTGCTATGAAGGAGTAGAATTTTTCAGATTTAACCTCATTCAGAATAGATTTATTCAAGTTATAATTTACTTTATCATATGATAGTTCATGTTTTCACTTTTCCGCCCCCTCGCCTCCTCTCCACCCACAAAAGAAAAAAAATAGCTTAAACTTGAATTTGTTAAATTGCTATTCCTGTAATTTTGATCAAGCCATTCTTAATTTTACAGGAGACCATTGTTATTGACCCCTTAAGTTCAGCTTGTTTTTGAAGTATTCCTTTGATTGAACTATAAGCTCAATAAACTAACGTTCATTTTTATTTTAGTTATCAGAGCTCTTAAAATTGCTCTGGGTCAGGATTCACGATTCGTTAAATTGCAAAACAGGGTGGACTTCTTGCCCCCCCCCCCTACAGGGGTGACAAGCCTTCTTAAGGGAGAAGTATACTCCCCCTTAATCAGGCTAGGAGGGGCCTCGCCCCCCCCCCCTAGTTGCGCGCCTGTTTCCGACTTGTCCTTATTTGCTGACTTCATGCTAATACTTTCTCACTCTCTCTATGTATTTGGAAAGCCTGTTTGTTTGTCCAATAAACATAAAACAGTTGAGCAAATCAGGCACAAATTGTGTGTGACATGACCCAAGAGAAGGGTAAAGATAAAAGGTGTGCACAGAAAAATGTCAACATTTATTAGTTTTGAAAATCCGCCAATTAAAAAAAGAATAATCCGTGCAAATTTTAGAACAAAAACAAAAGCTAGAATTGTTTATTGGAAAAGGGCTCTTTACAAGTCCAGTATTGTACAAGCTAGAAGTAAAGTTTGAATAAAAGTGACAATTTATTGATTATTTAACTAAGGTTACTGAAAGCACAGATTTACATTATAAGATCTCCAACTGTAGTTTGTTGAATGCTAGCAGGAGATATTAAACACGGTTTGAACAGGTTCCCAGTATATATTAATCAGTCAGCTGAGGAATCCAAGCCAAACCATTGGAATTATAATGCCTTTATATCACCCGTTCATTCCTGTAGACAGACACACTCATTGTAATGCCCTTCCTTCAAGTGGGGGGAGGAGAGGTACTAAAGGAGGGAGGGTGTGTGTAAGGAGGGAGAGGGAGAATCGGGGAGGGAAGGGGGATGAAGGGAGAGATGAGGAGATATTGGATCAAACAAAGATGAGATCGGATATTTAGCAGTTTTTGGATAGTTCAGAATCACGAGGATTCAAGATGGCGAGGACGGATAAAGAGGTTCAAAAGGACGAATTCAGTGGATAAGGTTGGGAAGGACAAATTCAGAGGATGAGGTTGGCAAGGGCGGATACAGAAGATGAGGTTGGCAAGGACGAATTCAGAGGATGAGGTGGATGGCTGAAGAGGATGATGTTGGACAAGGACGGATTCAGAGGATAAGGTTGGCAAGGACGGATACAGAGGATGAGGTTGGCAAGGATGGCTATAGAGGATGAGGTTGGCCAAGGACGGATTCAGAGGATGAGGTTGGCAAGGGACACGTTTATCCTTGAGATCTGAATGTTCTAGCTGGTACAGTATTCTCATGAAGATGCAAGAACGGGTCTGATGAGAGGGTTGGATGGGATGAAAGATGGGATGAAAGATGGGATGAGTTTGTAAGGAGTTGGAGAAGATAGAGAAGTATACCCTTCCCTCCCAGATCATAAAGAGAACCAGAGATACAGATCATACTAGAAATAAAAGTAAAATTAGCTTTAAATTAGATTTAATTACAAATAAATACAAATTATTACATAAAAACATCTTGATTAAAAACCTTATTAATGATTGATTTAATTGAGACTTTTTAATTAATTCTAACCGAAGTTTTGAATTGTTAAAAATGTAAATGCAAGGTGATATTGCGCATAAAACCTTGACAATTAGATTGAACTATGAGACAGATTATATTACATATACATTTTCTATGTCACGCTTCAATTCATTGTTCCAGTTTACTCTAGGTCAAAATAATAATATAAGAATATTTTTTAAAACTATAATTTTTTTGTAAAACTTACTACTTTTGATTCTAATAAAATTCAGAGAAAATTTTGTTAACATTTTTAAATGCTTTTTTACAATTTCGCATATTTTCGTTTTTTGTAAGTCGAACCCCCCCCCCCCTTCACTCCCCTCACCAGGAAATATTCCCTCAAATTCCGATTTTGTTTCAGCTGGTTTCAAGTTCTCCTAGCAACACCCCCCCCCACTTCTCCACCCCTGGAGTAACCAGCTGTGTGTAACTACGCACAAAGGTCTACCTCAACTACCTATCCTTCTGACTTCCTATCCATCGGCCATTTTTTTTGTCAGCATTTAATTTAAACTTGAATTTTTTCGAAAAATAATTAAGATTGAGAAAATATGTTTATTAAAATACTGATGGGTGACTGTTCTATTTATTTATTTATGCATGTAAGATGGGTCTATACAGTATATCTTTACTGTGCATTAGACTTATGAAAATGCATTGCAAATTCAAGTACTTAGTTTATATAGAAGTTTGATTTATCCCAGAATTCTTGCATTTACAAAATTTGCATTTGCAATCTGCATATGTCAATTTTTGATTTGTATTTAAATTTCAAGTTTGGGCAGAAAATTGTTAGGATTGGGGTAGTCTGGGTCTACAGTAAAGATTTTTAAAGTCCAGAGAAACTTGTAAATATTTTTATATTATGCTGATATTTAAGGAAAATTATAATTTGTAGGGCCATAATCTCAAATTATGCTGATTTTTAAGGAAAATTGTGTTTTTTAAGACAAATTAAAAAATTATGCTAAATTGTGCCATTACGCTCTTTAAAAATTTTGGATGCTTTTTAATTATGATTTTTTTTGAAAAAAAAACGGCATCCATTAATATGACCGGTTGGGAACCCTGCTGTAATGATTCTGAAGCTCAGACTTAAACTACTAGGTGTAACTGTAGGATCACCCCAACCCAACTCCCTCCCTCCCTCTTACAACACCAGGGGGGGGGGGGGCGTAAACTTCATAATTTTGTAAACCAGAGAATTAGTACTTTGTTCATAAACCTTTTTCATTTATAGACAGCGACCCGAAAAGCTGTCAGTAAGAACGATGCATTTTTCGTCAAGCTTTGTGATTTTTTTGTCCTTTTACCTCTCTGATGCCGATTTTAAATGCACAGAATTTATGATCTCAAAATCACAAATATCACTCTAACTGGGAAAAGATGGAAAAAAATCAAAATTTTCTCCATTCACGGAAATCAAGTTTAGGTTTAGGTTCGACTTCTTTTCAAGAAAGGAACTGAGTTTTCAAGAAAGGAACTGAGTTGTTGTCACATACTCAAATTGTCTAATCCCTATATCTTTACAATCTGATGATGTAAACCTTTAATATTTCAAACTTAGATTATTTGGTCTAACAAAGTTTATAGTTTGAAGTATTAAAGGTCTACGACATTGGGTAGCAAAGATATAGAGATTAAAAAAGTAGAGTTTGTGACAAAAACTCAGTTCCTTTGTTTTCAAAACTTTTTTGACATCTTTCCTGGTGTTTGTCAATAGAAATGGGGAAAATACATGTTATAAATAGATCGAGTTCTATTTTCAACAAATTAAAGTATTTTTATCTGAATCTATGTAAGAAAGTCGCAGGAAAAAATGTTTCTGGATAAAAAAAAACCTGGAAATAAAAACGTTGGTAATAAAGTCCCGATTTTCTGAAGTCCTAGGACAAAATTTCATTGGAAATAAGTTTCTGAGTTTTAGATTCCTGGGACTTTTCCCTAAAATTTATCCGAAAAAACAAGAAAAAAGTCCTTAGTCCTTTTTTTGCATAGTTGTAAACATCCTCTGTTCCCATGCATTTTCCACTTTTCTGGAACCAGAAAAAAGTCCTTGAAAATAAAGTCTCAAAATGGTAGGACTTTATTTTATTCCAGAGACTTTTTATTTCAAAGACTTTTTCCACAGGACTTTTTTTAGTGCCAAAGTAAGTGGTAGCTGTTTGGCCTTTTTTTGACTATTTTTTTTTTGGCTAAGGGCCAAAATTTTCACTTTAGAATTTTTAAAATTAATAAATGCTTGATTTCACAATTAAGATGCATTTCTTTTATATATTTTCGAAAAGATATAAGAACTTGTGCGAGTGGATAAGTTGATAACTGGATAAGTGGATAAGTGGATAAGTGGATAAGGAAATAATAGACTTTTTTATTGTTAAAAAAGTTGTCTGATAAAAGTGCTCGTCTGCTAGAGTTCATCGCGGTATAATCTCATATTTGATTTAACATTTGTACTCAGTTTGTTCAGTTCGTCTAATATCATATTAGATTATCTCCAAGCTTTAACGCCAAAATAAGCACATAATGCTCGAAAAACCTAGTATTTTCTGCAAGAAAACTTTTATAAAAAACTTTTACGTTTTTAAAAAATATTCATTGTTTTAAATTTTCTGATTAGTCCCAAAAATCACAATTTTGAGCTATACACGATCTAATATGATGTGGGACACCCTGTACTTCACCATACAAGTCGGCCGAGACATAGACAAGAGGAAGAAGGATTTAGACTAAAAACAAAGTTCTTACAAATGTATTGAACTGGTATTAAAGTCGTTGCAATAATCAGTTTCTTTTCGATCTTTAACAAACATAAAGTTTTATGAAAAATCTGTTGTAAAAAGTTCTCAGCTTCCTCTTTATTTGTGATTAAAATCCAGCTGTAGAACGAAACCTGTCAATGTACTTTTGCCTGGTTTTATAGGATGTAAGAAGTATATGGTTTATGTGTTTACGTGCTATATGTTGTAGGGAGGACTGTTTAATAAAAAATTGATCTTAATATTGAAGTATATGTAATTACAAAGGAAAATGTTTTAATGATTTCAATCAATGTATTTTTGTTGAATGTTTGTTGACCTTTACACACATAAAAAAGAAGGATACGAAGAACTGCTATGCATGAAGAAAACAGTAGTAGATTAAAATATTAAACAAAATAATATTAATTTAGACAACATAACAATAAACAATAGACATAAATAGACAACACAAGAATTTGATAGACATGAATAACCATCAATAGACATAATAAGAATAAATCGATTATAAAAAAAACGATAAAAAGACTTATACTTATTCCGAAAATTTTAATTAATATGTTGTGTATTTGAATTAGGCGAATAAGCCCTTATAGAATGTGTACACTTTAGTCAAAGCATTTCGTAACTTAATGATAACGTTTATTTGTTTGAACGTGCAGACTAACGTGATAAAGTGATATTTTGTAACTTTGTTTGTTTAAGAAATTACGTAAACATTAATTTTACGCATTTAATGATAATTCTTATCTTGTATATAGTGATATATATATTTGACATTCTCCATGCATTTATAATAGATTTGAGTCTATACGATAAAAACATTGACAAAAACTCTGAAGCGTTTCAAATGTTTAGTTTTTTAATCAATTAATCAATATTAAAAATAACAAATAAAAAAACATTTTAAAGTAAAGTTTAATACATGATTTCAACGAGGGGAGGAAGGCCAGCCACACAATTTCTCGTCCGAGCCACATTCTCCTCATTTTCTCATCTGAGCCACCTCAGAATCCTCGTCCTTCGATTATTTTGTGTTAAAAAGTTTTCAATTCTTGAAGATAAAACTATTTTTTTAAATCTGGCCAAGTAAATGCATACAATATGGATAGATTAAAGTTTGCAATGATTATATCATGTTGGAATCTTCAAACCCATGAGAATAATGTCAAACTTTATTTAGGTAAAACTTAAATCTCTTCTGCCCGGTAATGGCTAACCTTCGCTATATAAAATAAATAGTAAAATATTCAGCATACCTCTGCCTTTAATTTTCCTCATGGAACCACCCGGAAAAATTCTATGGTTTTTACTCTAGTTAACAAAAAAGATTCAAGTTCTAGAAACTTGGAATTATTTGCGGCATTCTACACCAGGAATATCTGAAAATGCGCATAAAAAAGTGAACATTTTTAAAGACATTAACTTGAAATCTTTAACTCAATTGAATTTTTTTTTTTGATTTACAAAAATTTATGCACTAACGAGGCTTGATTCTTTAAAAATAGTTTGAAGGATTAGACACTTAATAAAAATAATATTGAAAGGACGAGGATTTCGAGGCGGCTCGGACGAGAAAATGAGGAGAATGTGGCTCGGACGAGAAATTGTTGTGGTTACCCTTCCTTCCCTCTTTCGACTAATTCAACTTAGGCGGCCAAAAACTATGAACAAAGAAATATTCAATTTATAGTAAGATGAATCACTAATTCAATATTGTTCATGACATTTTTTACCAACTTTTAGCAAACATTACCGACCCATGATTCCCCTAACAGCGGATTGTTAAGCTGTATAACTGTTCCTTACGATTATCTTAAAATAAAAAAAAATAAAAAATTTTCTTTACGAAAATATTGGCAACGCAGAAAAAGTTCAATAAATGTCCTAAATAACGAACTGAATTTAAAAGTATATACATCACGCACCTCTGTGCCTTTAGTAAAAGTAAATTGAACCTGTATGAAGCATAAAGTCTGACCGCGTCAACCTTGTTGCACCAGCTAGTCCTGCCCATAGAGCTGGGTACAGTACAAACTGGGACTATACTACAATAAGCAGGGTCTCAAAAGTATTAATAAAAGTTACAAAGGAGAAAAAATATATCTGAATATATTTCTATACAAATACATTTTTATAGTCTCATATATTCATACATTAATCATATATTTCTATTATATTTTACATTCTGATACATTCTGATAATGATGAAATAACACCATATTATTTATACATAATATACAATGCATATTATATAAATGTTTTCTATATATTTCTGAATATAATTTCTTTTTCAGATCCGACAGCAGAGAGCAAGTTTCCTACCTGGTACTCCAGAATAATTATGCACAACAATGTACAGTACTGTACTGTACTGTACTGTACTGTACTGTACTGTACTGTACTGTACTGTACTGTACTTTACTGTACTGTACTGTACTGTACTGTACTGTACTGTACTGTACTGTACTTTACTGTACTTTACTGTACAGTACAGTAAAGTACAGTACTTTTTGTTTTCTTAAATACTACTGACTTGAAGAGGTTTTATCCACAAACTCTTCTTATATTTTAGTTTAATATTATTTATCTATATATAATTAAGTTTATTGGTTTGATGGTGATTATTAGAACAAAATTTATTTTAGATTGATTGTGTTTTTGATATTTAATATTTCATTATTATAGCTATGCATCTTTTTTCAACTTTATCTTAAAAGTTTTGTAGAAGTGAGTTTTTAGTGTGTTCTAAGAGTGTGTTTTTAATCTTGTATTTTGAAATTTAATTAATATCAATTATTTTCAAATATCAATTATTTTCAAATATCATTATTTTCAAATATCATTTATTTTCAAATATCATTTATTTTCAAATATCATTTATTTTCAAATATCATTTATTTTCAAATATCATTTATTTTCAAATATCATTTACATTCAAATATCATTTATTTTCAATTATCATTTATTTTCAAATATCATTTATTTTCAAATATCATTTATTTTCAAATATCATTTATTTTCAAATATAATTTTTTTTCCAATATCATTTATTTTCAAATATCATTTACATTCAAATATCATTTATTTTCAATTATCATTTATTTTCAAATATCATTTATTTTCAAATATCATTTATTTTCAAATATCATTTATTTTCAAATATAATTTTTTTTCCAATATCATTTATTTTCAAATATCATTTATTTTCAAATATCATTTATTTTCAAATATCATTTATTTTCAAATATCATTTACATTCAAATATCATTTTTTTTCAATTATCATTTATTTTCAAATATCATTTATTTTCAAATATCATTTATTTTCAAATATCAATTATTTTTCAAATATAATTTTTTTTCAAATATCATTTGTTTTCAAATATCATTTTTTTTTAAATATCATTTATTTTCAAATATGAATTATTTTGTTACAATAACAGACAATTGGCCAAATGTATATTTAAAAATTCAATAAATATTTATTTCCTCAGAACTGTTCATGAGTTAGGGATAGATATTTTTCATATAGTAAGTAGAGCAGCTAAAGATGGGTAATTACTTGGTTAGTTTTAAAAAAACTTTTAAGGTTTTTAACTTTTAAGATAGGTTAAAAAAATGTTACAAGGAATTTTGTCTTGCCACAAACTCATTCTTTGCAACCATATGTCGTATATCTTAGATATTTTAAACTATAAATTATATTGTGTAAAATAAAAAAGTTGATTGCCACCAGGTTATAAAGATGCAGGAATTATAAAATTTGAGTTTGTGGCAAAAGCTCAATTTTCTTTACAATAGGGAATTCTAAACATTTTCTGTATTCATAGTATGACAAACTAAACAAAAAACAACCGTTTTAAAGCTATAATTTTTTCTTAAAAAATTTTTCTTGGGATGAAGGAATTTAGTTTTTGCCACAGACCAAAATGTTCTGATCCCTTTATCTTTGCAGCCTGACGGTGTAAAAATATTTCAAACTGAAAATACTTGATCAAACAGAATTTATAGTTTGAAATATTAAATTTCTACAGCATCAGGTTGCAGAGATATAGGGATTATAAAGTTTGCGGCAAAGACTCAATTCCTTTTGAAAACTTAAAAAGAATATAGTTTTGAAGTTGTTCAACATTCTCAAGTTGATGCTGTATTTGAATTCCAGAAATATAAATAACTTCTAGAAAAACGAATTAGGTAATTGACGATTATTTGTAACGTGTCATTCAACGATATAAAAATTATCTATACAATGAGATTTAATGGAAATCATTCAGCTTATTGTCTTTCTCTGTGAAAATATTAAATATTTTTTTTTATTAAATTTGGACTGTCAGGCGTAATGTCAAGGTACACACCACGAAAATGGGGTTACAATGGAACCCTTGAAACCTTAATCTGATCAAAAAAGTGGAAGAAAACTTTGTTAATCTTGCTTGAAAAGTGTTTAATTCTGTTAACTTTTCCGTTGTTTCTGAAGCAACCTAACTGAACATCAGGATGGTTTGATATTATGCAGGTTTAGGAGCATCTAACTGAACATCAGGATGGTTTGATATTATGTAGGTTTAGGAGCATCTAACTGAACATCAGGATGGTTTGATATTATGCAGGTTTAGGAGCATCTAACTGAACATCAGGATGAGCTGCTAGGAAAGGTTTTCTAGTCACTAGGTATGATTGTATTCTGGAGATAATTGGAAATCTTGAAACATCCAGGTTGAATATGTAAATAAATATACTTTTTAGGTTTGTATATCAAAAGATTGGCATGTTGGATTCACTTTATCGAATTATAATTAAAACCTCTACTGAGATACCAGTGATTCAAGAAACTGGTATTTTTTTTTACATAAAACGTCATAAATTCTGAAAATTACTATTACTGCCCTCAACAATGTCTTCAAGGATTTTATGTTAAAAAGAGGAGTAAAAGAATTATCAAACCAATTCAAAAACGTAGAAATAAATAGTTTTTGATTAATATAATCTGTGCAATGTTAAAAAGACTTAGAAGTTACAACATAACAAGGTGAGATCTAAAAATGATAAAATTATTATGATGCCTCTAACTAACCACAAAAAATCTTAATATTGGAACAAAGCGAACAATAAAGCTATGCCTTTCTCTTAAATAGGTATAAAACTGTAAATAGTAGTAGATTGATTTTTCATAAAAATTTAATTTTAGAAGAATACTAAACCCTGCCCAAGAACCAGCCAAAGCAGAGCAGAACCGAACCAAACAAAGATAAAAAGTTGTAAATCTTTTCAAGAAACTTTCATTTAAACTTTTGTTTTTCTTTCTTAAAGTCATTAAACTTAAAAGACGGTAAAAATCCTTTCAAATATGAAAATGAAAAAATTGAAGAAAGTTCATTTAAAAGAAATGTTTTTTTTTATGAGTGCATTGTAAAACTGAGGAACAAGACAAATGTCTGCTAGGGTAGAGTATACTTACTAGATAGGTAGACAAAGCTGTTAACCCTATAAAGGCTGGGGGGTCTAAATCTTTGTGTAGCCTGGGGGGGGGGGGGTCCCAAATCCCCCCCCCCCATAGAAAAAAGTCTTAGACTATGGGAATACCTGGTTAAAATGCACAGTCAAAACCAAATTTTTCAAGGCCAGCTCATTGAAAAAAAAATTAACCGATAACATTAATAGTTTAAGTGCTAAGGAGGGCTAAAAAATGCCCAAAAAGAATTAAAAAAATTTTTGTTTTTTTTTGTTTTAACAAATATCAAGATGCGACACATGTGTCTACATCCGAAAGCATTAAATTAAACCATCTTGGATATCCTGTGATCGAAACCCATGGCTGAAATAGAGCAGATAATCCTAAAATTTAAAAAATTGTCACTGTAATGGATATCGAGATCAAGTGTTGTAGAGCAGTGGTGTTTCTGATCACAAATTTCGGAACTCTGCATGGTCAAAAACATTTAAATCTAATTTTCTAATCTTATTTTATTTGCATCCTGGGTCCAAATTTAATTCAACTGCTCTGTGAACCAGAGGCCGAATTAAAAGAATTTGAGTCGCGGCTATAATTTGAAACGCAGCTCAAATATGGTTGGGTTAATTTAGAAGTGTTTCAATGTTTCAAGATTTAAGCCTGGGCTTAGTTAAAACTGGTTTTTGGCGGATTTGAGACGCGGCTCAAACTCATTAAATTCGACTCAGGATTTGCATTATATATGTAAACTCTATATCAGCACTTCAGATAAATAGTTTAGCGACCTAGCTCAAACTCATTCAATTCTGCCCCTCAGAGAGATAACCTTTGATATTTCAATCATTGAATTTTTGATCCAGCAGATTTCATTTTGTGAAAAATCTGCAATCTGTAATTTCAAGAATAGTCTATATGAAGTGAGAGACTAAAGTTGTTTGCTGGATTCAGATATAAATCAATCAAAAAGTTTCTCAAATCTGAAACCTTTTACAATTTAAAGTTTAAGTTTCTCTCTTGAGAATTGTCATTTGTAGGATAAAATTCTTCAGATTAAACCACATAAAAACTTGCTTTTAACCTTTAATATTTTATCATTTTTTCGATTAAATGTTTAAAATTTTCTAGATTTAGCAAATTTCGGAGACGACGGTTGATTTAAAATCTGGACACAAAAGTTGAGTTCTAGTTTAATTAGCCATTTCTTAGAAGTGCATGAGCTTGAGACTCTATATCAAATTTTATGAAATCCTTAGGAAAAGTCGAAAAAATTCAGTGAATTATACTTTTACATTTATTTCTATCAAAGTTTGCGTTGGGTCGAACTCATTTTTGGTTTTAACTTTCGAACTTATTAATACTTTTGTAGCCATAGCCATATACATTTTAAACTTCAACACATTTGTTTTTTGCATAAGTTTAAAAGGAGTAATTGGAAAAATACTGAGAGATTTTTTATGTAAGAGCGTTCAAATCTATAGGTTTGCTTTTCTTACCATGCGGGATGTCAAATAAAGATTAAATTAATCTGTAGACTGTAGTTTAACAAAATATCGAAATCCAGCTCAGATCTCCATAACCACAATTCAAAAGTTTCCAGCTCTGAACTTAGAATGTGAGTTTTAGCCACAAACTCAAGTATTATAATCAATTATCTGTTCAACAGCTGATGGTGCAAACCTTTGACATTTCAAGTTTAAATTATTTGATTTAACAGAATTCATAGTTTAAAATATCTAAGCTTTATGTACTACATTGGGTTGCAAAAATATTGCTTACTTAATTAGTGTCTCAGATTTTCGTTGACCAGGGGGGATTATAGTTAACTACCTGGGCCGCTGTCTAGCCTGTCTTGCTAACTCAAATATTAAAAGTTTTCATATTTTACTACATAATAACGAACACATAATGACATGAAAATATAACAAATTTGAATATTATTGGGCTGCTGTTACTGAAAAAAACATCA